ATAAAAAGTATCAGCTTCTGACTGGTGGAACAAAGAGCTTATAAAAAAGAGTAACACACACTTATCCAGATGTAATCATAGGAGTACCAAGAAGAAACCATGTTCACCCCAGTCGAGGCAGCTCTCTGAAGGATGTCTGGCTGGTTTGTATAGAATCGCCTAGAATTTGGCTGTATATATCTAACAACTTCCAATCTTACTGTATCTGTACCAACTTGTATTGTTCAATGCGAAAGTAAGCCAGAATAACAGCCTAATCCCACTTCATGCTAGTCTACGGGTGTGGCGCTCACAAAGAGCAAAAGAGTACAGAAATGCGTAATCCAAACTTGCAAGGCACTGTAGTAATATACGTAGGATTGCACCCGTTGACACTATCTCGCCAGGTTACATACCTGGCTGTCAGACGCGTCGTTATGTCTCCAAAATACATGCCACCGGTACACCCCCGAATTACGCCGTCAAGTTTCCTTCTCACTTCCTCACTAATCTCCCTCGGACGACAATTGGTCAAATGGCCCAGAACCCTCCCCGCAACATTTCATGGTAGGCAGAATATTACGCGCTGCATTATTTTCGCGCGGAGTAAGAGCTCAGCAGAAGACCAGGGGACGAGAGAAGTCGCGGACGTAGATTATTTACCCGGCATCCACAGACTTCTTTTCTACGCGCACGATGTTATAAACTACTTCAGACGGTAGCGGACGCCAGTGTATCTATAGCAGGCCACTTATTCAGTACGCAACAGGTGCCTGCTGACACGTGACTAGCTACTCAACTGGCTAAACCGGAGTTTACTCAGATAGTGGTACAGGAGAAGTTGCTAGAGTCGGGAGTAGAATCAAGAAGAGCTTCTGACAGACTCAGGACGACAACAAGGAGAGCAAATAGGTTGTATTACTCATGTCACGTCGCAACGCACAGGATTATGGTTGATAGCAATATACCGATAGAAGGGCAACGAGCGGTGGAACTGTTAGGAACAGGTGATCACATCTCTCCTGGGTTTTCCTTAGTCATTCTGGTTTTAGACCGGATTCTCGGCTCGGGTCGAAATTAGACTCTCGAATTCAAATAACACGCCAAGACCTCAATTCATTGATCCACAGCTGGAAGATATGTCTAACGCGTATCTATGGCATATACCAGTCTAGTATCATAACGACACGTCCGACCCCAGGTATGTAACCTGAGCAAGATAATATCAACAAATGCATTTTTATAAAGACTACCATTAGCTGGAAGGGTTTGCCATCAATCAGAGGACATGCAAGGGGTGCAATAGCGGTGGTGGATCAACGCTGTAGCATCTAGAATGCCAGCAATTATTTACAGCCTATCATAGGTCTATGCGCATATATGGGAAGAGATCATGCGTGGTCAAGCAAAATAATATACAGACGGAATATGCGTGGTGCGCATAATTTTCTACTCCACCTCGCATCATTACTATTCCTTCTGGTTTCCGACAGGGATTCCGGGATTATTGTCTCATTGCTGTGAATGACTCAAGAGACCTTGTCAAAATGGCTGGATGCCCCTCTTTACGCCCTTTGCGTCCGGCGACAGACAAGTCACATATTATACCGACCAATCATGATATACCTCTGATTAAGCGGTAAAGCCTTGCATGTGGAAATTGTCGCAGCAAGCGGGTGAAGGTTGAGAATTGTGTTTCATCTTTTATAGGCTCAAGCTTAATCAATAAAATACAGCGTACTGACCGGATGTGTGTGCACATGGAATCGGTTTGCGTGTTCGAGCTGATGAAAGATAAACCCAGAAAACTAGCTCTACACTTTGCTGATCAAAGTCAACAACAAATGCAACTGTCCTAGGTCGTCTACTTCTATAACTGCAGCATAAAGTTGTAGAGAACATTACTCAATTGAGAGGATGCCTGAGAATCGCTTAAAGAAATGATCTCATGCGTAGAAGGTGTTACAGGGATAGACCCCAATCCGGATAAACGCGTATATACCTATTTAAATTCTATCTTGCATTCTCTTGCTGATCTCTCAGATCACACAAGAAGTGTACAGGCTAAATACTCGACTTCAGACCAGTTTACTTAAAACTTATTTGTCCCATTATAAATCCTTTTGCCCGTCCTGCTCGGTCATTGAGACTGATGTCCTCAAGTCAGCAGTTATATTCATTCTATAACACACAATTTCTGGCTACGATTCTTGGTTTTCTAAATCCGATAGTCAGTGCAGTCTTCATGGTGATAAATGCCTGGGTTATCTGATACCAATGCTTTCGCAGATTCAGACGAAAACGGTGTACAAAGAGAAGTGCAAGATAATCTTTTAAGCAGCCATCATGGTCTCTTAAATCTATTAGACGAGGTCAATTGGGAGATTCCATGAATTGGTATGATTGCTGATTTGTGATAGATTGGTGATGACAGCTTGAGCATGCTCTATTTCTCATATAAATATCGAGATTTAACTCGCCAAATAGTTCTGTCACCTTCTGATGAAGAGATGCTATACTATTTAGCGCTTCAGAAGCGCGTGATTTCTTCTCTGGAGCATTTGTTATCAGCTTCCTCAATGAGCCGTGACCATTAGCTGCTCTGCCATTTGACCTACCGAGGTATCAATGTGAGTACTAGACCCTTTCTTACCTGGGGCACTGAATCGACTAAACAAATAAGGTCAGGACGTTCGTCGCTCATTCACTGGACAAGTTTATTGGGTTATCTTGATGTTTACAGTCTACTTGGTTCTTGGACCTTTTATTCTTGCTCTCAACGATTTGTTTTCGACGCGAACATACCATGTGGGGAGGCAGTTGGTATTTGAATGTCCTGTAGTGCTTCTAGGTTAATTATCTCTGTTGGTTAACTATGCTAGCTCAACGTCAATTGGTTTTCATAGTTACCAGGTCGCTTAAAATGAGCGTGTCTTCGAACAAGAGCAGTAGTCGGAGATTAGTCTCTCGTAATGCTGTAATGTTTTCTTTGAGTTTACTGTAATAACGTATAGAATGACTTTTCAAAAGCACCGTTTTTTGATTACGGGGCCTAGCTTGGTTTCAGGTCACGATTACTGAGATACAAATGATTGTAGTTAAGTGTAAGTGGGCATGTCATTGCTGAGAGGCAGTATACAGTATCGTTTCATAACAGAGGTCTGTAACCTAGAACATCTCTCAGAGCTCCAGGGCACCCCGTTTAAGTCGTCAAAATTTACCTAATCACATGGTGTCTAAGTTAGCAGGAGAGAGCTGAATACTTCTCAAATACCTGAGCTGATAACTGCAGTGGGAAGGAATTTGTTCTATGCTACACTACCTGCTGTCTGTCTCAAAGCCTTCAAGGCCGCAAAGTGCGCCAAGCCATTCAACTTATTGCTGGAAGCTGTGCGTCCAAAAACAACAATTGCTCACTCGTGACCTATATATTTTCGCCTTGATAATCGAGAGCTAAGATATTCAACAATAGAAGGTAAATCAGCTCAAGTCGGCTGAAGGGAAGGCGAAAAGGACAAGGGGGTTTAGGATTGTCTATGAATACCTTATCTTTGTACAACCACCCAAGGCGACAAGCCGAAAGTCAAGCAGACTCAGAGAGGTCGGATGGTACATCCTGCGTCAGACGTCAAAAAAGGTTCAGAGGAAGATAAATACTCCATGTCTGCTGACACTGCGAAAATGGTTGAGAGAGGAAACGATTATGTCAGCCGGCTAACGAGGTTTTTTCTTACGTACTAGAAACCGAGTCATGCATGCAAGCCAGCTACCCGCATGTGTATTATACATAAAATCACTACTGTTTTGAACCTCAGTGGTATAACAGCTCAACGACTTGTGATATTGATATCGCAATACTATGTTATTTACAAGTGTAGAATGTTCTCAGTTCTTGGAATCCATCTTTATTTAGCCTAGAGTCCAGCATACGATAATGTAAAGGCTCGCCTCTTTCTAATCGCCGTCAAGTCAACGCATCAGCAACATACGTCATCTCAATTTCCTTCTTTACCCCGCTCTTCAAGCCCATTACCCATTTAGTTTATGGGCAAAACTCCCGCTTAAAGGATAATTGCCTTTTTTACCCAGGACCCTCCTTTCTTGGAGCCTTGATGTCAAAACTTGAAACCTTCCCGTCTTCGCCGCTGGTTGTTCCTGTCATATCTTTTCCCCTGGCGATATGACAACCCGGGAGAACCGTCACTTACTCTCAGACTTCAACTGCCTTCGCGTGACTGCTCTCAAACAGGCAACAATGATCCGGCAGAGACCACAAGTCTCGCTTTCTCAGAGACCAGGTAAGTGAAGCTAAAAAGCACAAGATACAGGCACCTCGGAAAGTAAGCACATATTGATCCTATTTCTAAACTTTATCTGAAGCTGCATGCTTTTATATCCGGTTCCCTAATAACGATTACTATCGTGCTATATATGTGAAGGAGCGGACAATTGTTGATTTACAGTTTCAAATTTCGCGAAAGGCACAGATCAATATTTGCCGCATATTCTTCCAGATATCTGCAGGTCCAAAGCGCCTAGCGAACGACGAACTTCTTCGACAAATTCCTGACGGTCAGGACATTATTGCGAAATTTGGGGATACTATGTCTATCGATCGTGGCATTGATGTTGTATTGATGTTTCGCTCATAATTGCGGGCGCTCAGGCACGGAACCGAGTTACAACTCGAAGAGTTGTTTCACATGGATAGTCTCTACAGTCCGCCGTACTCATCACGTAATGGAAATAACGATAATTGGTTATTGACCTTAAATCAATTTAAGGTGATACGCAGCGGTTCATGGTATCGTTCCAAGCAGATTCAACTCAATTGTTGCTTCCGAGTCTACATAGAAGTTACTGGCGGCCCAAATACACTGGACATAATACCAGTTCCTTTCTAATAGCATGCTGGGGAGAAGCTCCAAGACTGAATACTGCTTCGATGGCCCGTTTAAAAGAAATCGATGATTTCAGTAGCATTACCACGAGTACTCCATGCCGCCTTCCAGGACACGAATTTAACTGGATGTGCGGTCTCCAACTAAAGTTTCATATACCTCAAGCAGCGTAGGGTCCAAAGTTAAGGGAGTAAATTCTTGCTCGTCAACGGCTGACTCCGGATGTGTGTAATCTGCTCCCCAGCAGTCATCATGATTGAGAGACGGGATAGTTGATGATCGCGGATGCAGTGGACGAGTATTGCCAGCATTGAAGGACCCTAAATAGTAGTGCTGGAGATTCCCGTCGACAGTTCGATCAGCTAGATCCGAAGAAGCTGGTAGGTCACTTAGGTCCAATTTTCGAACGCTGGCAATTTTGCGTAAAAGACGATCACAAGTCATGAAGGCATTTCTCGCACTGTAACTTCGATTGCCGATACAGAATAACCAACAAAGGCACTTTTTGGATCCTTGGAGTATCTTCTCCGGCTCTTCTGCTGTTCCCACCGCCCCTTCACCTTCAGTGATGTCTCTGCTTCCAGAGACTCCGGCTTGTCCCACACACAGTTGGAGTAGTAGGATTACTAATGCTTGCATCAAGTAATGTACTATGGACCACCATGGTGCCATTGTGCTAAACCACTCCAAATCTGGAAGATCAGGTAGAATTGAAATCAAATCAAGAGCAGACTGTAAACAGGCATGTGCCTTGTCATCATCGAAACTAGAGCGAGGGCGCTTGACTCCTGTCTCTTTTTGTGACCTGGGGCGGGTGAGGTAGGGACGATTAAGAATGATCTGGATGCTGTAGAAGCTGAAAGCTAGCGATATCTTCTCTAGACACTCCACGCCTTTGGAGTAGTGTCCATGGCTATCAGTAAAAGCCCAAGTCTCCTTTAAAGACGATAGCCATTCTTTCAGCTTCTGTTGGTACTTGATGATTTGATGCTGATTTTTGCTCGCCGTGCCGGATCGAGATTGTAGACTATACACTGAGCTAATTGCCGCGTGGCCAATCACAGCGAGGTCAGTTAAGAAGAAGAAGAATAAAGAAGCGTTTGGCTGCACATATTGTAAACATTTCGTCCTTTCCTGCAACTGCAAATTATTGGCATATACTGTGAACAAGAAGTCTTCCTCTTGTGCTTTATGAAGATGGCCGGCAGTTTCCGACCCACGAAGTTGGTCCTTTTGGCAAGATACACGAGTAGTGATACTGAAGCAATGCCAGTCAATACAAGACGTGCGACCTGTTGCAGTACAAAGTACCTGCTCCAGGTTGACGATTGACCACCATAGGCTGGAACGCAACGCTTTCGAGCCGTGATCCAAGTGTCCATTAATTACTCGGAGATTAAGCCCCAATGTTATAGCAGATCGGGCAGTAAAGCCCAGTAATTGCCATGATCTATTACGAGTTAGAGGTTGAGTTAGATCTACACATGCTCATTAAAAACAGCATGTATTGAGCGGTTTCAAGCTTACCGGTTAATCTGGCCAGCAACCAGATAATAGAGTGCAAAAAGCGTCCTTATTTGAACCTGTTGTAATTCAACATATCCAAGAACGGAATTATGCTTTGCATTGAGTGCAATGGCCCTTGAAACTAAGATACGATCATCAAGATCTTCGTCCCAATGCTCTTGGCGCAACTGCAAACTTTTAGCTCCAATAGCGAGGACTAGGTTAAAGATCACGAGCCAGCTTTGCGGAGGGGTTGACAAGCGACTGCGAAAGGCATTCTCATACTGCTGGCAAAACAAAGGTTCGAGTAGCAGTGGGAAAGTTTGGTGAATGGAAGAAAAGTAAGTTTGAAGCAGTTGATCAGCCCAAGGCTTTGGTGGCATTGCGTAGGAATCACCATGAATTGGATCCGCTAAAACCAGATTGTCGAGGTGGTAATTTAGAGAAGCGAGACTTTCTTTATTATGTTTGGCGTGCTGTTCGGTACCCGGACGTTCTAGGCCGCCGACTTCAGCGTCAAGTCTCTGAAGCCAAGCAATGTCAGAGCCTCTTCCTATAAACCCTGTTGATCTGCTTTGCCTATCTCTGTTCACATCAATATCAATAGTTTCGATTTCGCCGACTGGGTCGGTTGACGAAGAGGATGAAAGAGAGCGACATCTTTGAGGCTCTTCTAAAGCATGGGATCTCGAATTAAGAGGCTAGTACCAATGTTAGATGTTTATCAGGATGTTTGGAGCAGAGTTTTACCTTTAATGAATTCGCTATGTAAGCAGAGACCCCCGGACGGAACTTAGTGGATAGCTCTTTGACTAACTGTTCATAAAAGGAAATACGTTTTTGGAGATCCTGGTATGTGGGTCAGCCTGCCCTTGTGAATTTTTTTGCCGGCCGGATTGCACAGATGATTCCCTGTGGTGTGTCGTACCTGCAGTTTCTGACGCGTTTGATAGTCAATCCTTGGAGTCAAAGCCGACTTATCTTTCGATATCCTAATAAGTCTCTCGAGCTCTATCTCGTTACTTGCTTCATAAGCCGCTTTGATTTGATCAAGTAAGAAGTAGGCTGAACTTAGTTCCTGTTCGATACGGCGCAGTGCAAGCTTTCTTCGTCTATCAGATTCTTCCATGAAATGACATTCTGTGCCTGTCTGAAGACATCTATCACACGGAAGCTCTCCTAGACACTATAAGTCGTTCTCAGTTGAATGTCTTCAAGACGGAATATTTGGAGTTATACTCTTGATTTCCTCTTCTTGCATGCTTCACAGGCATTTGTTCTTTTTCGGATTGGCTTGACGACAGTGTCTTGAGCAGGAATAATGGCAGGATTAATGGCCAGGGATCCAATGTCCGTAGCTGGAGCAAGGGTCCGTAGAGCCTGGCTGTATGAAGAATTCATTTTTCCATGACATATCAAGCTTTTGGCAACATAGAAAATGTGGTGGTCTGGATAATTGAAGTTGTAGGCAATCCGAGCGGAGATAAAATTACGACCAAGCGGTGCGGGGTAAATGATGTTACTTTGTTCTCGAGTAGCCAATAGCGTGGTGGAATACTTTTGACCAATCGCATTCTATTCCGTCGCTTGGTAGGAAACTTTTCATAGTCACGAGTAACATCTCCAAATATTCTCCTCTCCAGGGCGTCCCTGTATATTTGATTGGTTATGTTTTATTTATACTTTTATATACTAGGAATTTTGAGGAAAAGCGAGTAGCTGGAGATCCAGCCGAAGCAGATATAAGTCGGCTAAAATCCGGATTTCATTTGTTTAATCACTTATCATCAACATCACGAGAAACCCGCAATTACTTATAATTAAAGGAAACCCTATTCTCCAACCAAATGACTAACTGCGACTTTTTCATGTCTCATAAGTACATGTAAGTAGACTTAGAAACCAAGAGGTATATGTAACGTAATCGGTAAGCGAGCGGAACGCGCAAGCGAGTGGAACGCCCAACTCGTAATTCTGCTTTATATACAAATTTGAAGTCAAATATCAACCTTTTTACACCGTTCAAATTGCCTCTTCTTGGTGTTTTACTCTTGCTGGACACCATGTCCGTATATGACCAACTTTATTACACAAAGAACAGCGAGGTGGCGCGCGCCGGCGAGACTGTTCCTCGCCGACCGCAAAATCAGCCCGTTGGATTCCCAAGGCTTCATCTTCCTCACAAGCCCGGCGAAAAAGCTGTATAGCTTCATAAACTGTAGCTCCTTCGAGGCCTACCAATTGGCGATTACTTCGTTTCCTCTTCTTAGTCTGATGTTCGTCTGCAGCCCGTAAATCATGATTTTCCTATTCAAGTAAGGCTGCCCTGTTTAACGCGATTTCGCAGCCTTTGATGATATATGATAATGCAGTTCTTATTAACTCCGGAGGACTTCGTGTACGTTCACGCAGTAATCTCTCGATTGTAGTTTCATGCTTCTTCAATTGCCTCGTATTTTTAGGTGTTTTTAGTATAAAAGAAGTGGTAGTTTGACTTCCAGTAGGAGTAATCTCTCGCAGGCTATACATCAGCTTTCCAAGCACCTCGTCCGGCTGGAAAGGCACCAAGCCGGAAGCTGAAAAGGCGTTCTGTATAGATAATTTCTTAAAAACAAGTTCTCGGGCTTTGGGAAATGTATCCAAGAAATCAACCTTATCAATATAATGGATTTCTTGGCGAATTAGCCGTTCAATCAAACCACCGTATGCCTTCTTTAACGGCGCGAAGCAGGCAACATCCAAAGACTGGCAAAGATGTAAGGAATGTGGAGGCATGCAGATAGGAACAACACCATTCTGGCTGCAGATTTCATCAAAACGAGGCGTTAAATAAGAATCATGTCCGTCGAGAATCAGGAGGCTATATTTCCCGACTCGCCGTTTCTTAATTGAAGGAATAAAGTAGTATTCAAGCCAATACAATCCGATCTCGTTACTCGTCCAACCGTTTGACGAGGTGTTGATCCTCCAAAAATAAGGCACATTGCCTTCATACCAGGCCTCCATATACATCTTCCCTTTGACGATAATATACGGAGGCAGGGCCCAGCCCGAGGCGTTAATACACTCAATTGATGTCACCCACTCGCGATTTTCAGGCTGTATAAGAAACGGCTTGCCCACGCAGTCAGACCTCGTTACCACCTTAGCAGTAGCCACCAAGCCCATAGCGAATCCAGTTTCATCAAAGTTGTAGATATCTTCATCTGTAATTCCGTTCTCTGATATAGCATTTTAAACACGGTCGAACCACTCTTTAATAAGCTTCGGATCTTCGCAGAGGGCCCTTTTATAATCATATCGGCGAGAGAAACATGTCTTTAAAGAGTCATAGCGTTTAATAAAGTTGTATACCCATTTTTGCCCTACTAAAGCCTCATCCGATGCCTCCGGCGAGACTCCTCGTTTCCGGATTAATATAGACGCCATTTCACGAACATGGGAAGGCCTGGGGGGAAGCCCTTACTTATCTAAGGAGAGAATCTACTGTTCCAACGTCTCCTCCTCTGCAAGAGTCAATTTACACGAAACGACACGTATATCGCTTCGTGATTTGACTCCTTTAACGCGGTTCCAGAGGGTGGTTTGCGGAACGTTGAAAACGCGCGCTGCTTCTCGCAATGACGGAATTTAATCATTCTTTAAAGCCTCAATGGCTAAGAGGATCCTGCCTTCTTATTCCTTACATTCTTTTGACGATATAGCCATTCTGGTGGTTGATTTCGTTGATCAAAAGCCTCATGTTTTGGTGGAATGCGGAAGTCACGAGTTGGGCGTTCCACTCGCTTGCGCGTTCCGCTCGCTTACCGATTACGTTAGTTCGTAGTCTTACAAAGCCGTATTATGGTCTCTAGTTTATTCAATGTCAGTACTGTAACTTGACTAATAATAGCATTTCATTTACTAGTATCAACTAGTCTAAATATGGCTTAGCTTGGCTTCACTGGCAAGAGGAGTCTGTCCAGTCATCGCCGCTGTTCCGTCCAGTCGACTGTCATATCTCCGTATGCGTTGGATATTTGACACTGTTGTCTTTGAAGGAGACTGCGCCCGCATATGGTAACGAGGATGAGGCACTCGGTAAAAGGAGATCGGACTATGAGAGTCGAGTCCGTCATAGCTTCGGATAGGAACGGTCCTAATTCCCGGTATCCGTTCTGGAACTTGGAATCCGCGGCTGGAAGACGGGTGCAGATCTACAAAACTGAATACAAAAAAACTGTATATAATAATGGGCTGGGGTCATTCTTACCACATGCTCATTCAGAGTGATTGGCCAGTCGTCGCGCATACTGATGATATGGTCCAGAACGTACGCCATCCAAAACACCCGACGTCTCTCCTCGACCTCAATAAAGTCACCACGCTGAGCATGAGCCGAGCCTCTTTCGCCATCCAGGCTGTCAATCTCATGATAGTGCATGGCTTGCACGAAGTGGAACGCACTTCCGGCGCTCATCCATGCCCGTCGATGATATGTGCGCATTGACTCAAAGGTGACGAGAAGAATCCAGGCTTGGCCAATTTCGGTGTCAATATTGCTGTCCTCATTTTTTCCAGCAGTGATTTGGTCGAGCATGCGCTTTGTCTCCTGATACAGCGGTTCTATCATGTCTCGGAACTGGGTGGAGAGCAATGCGGCTAGTGTCCACATTGCATACTGTAAGCATCTACGCGGTTCCGTTTTGGTACTGGATTTGGACCAGGAGACATATCGTCGCTGATGAAGGATTGGGATAGAATGATGGACACGGTCCAGGTAAAGTTGGTCTCTAGTCGGGATTAGCATTGTGTTTTGATTCCTGATTGAGGTGCTTACAATTCGTCCTGCACAAGACTGGTAATGCGCTGTAACGGCGTGCCATGGCCGGATATAGTTGGGCTGACGAAGGACCCTTGAGAGAAAGAAGGTACACTAGGTGTCAAGCCGGGCTGTAGAAGCCGCTCGTACTTTGAATTGGAGGTCACCGTACCCGCAGAAATCCACGGCACAGATGTGCCAACCTCACCCGCATGGCCAGCTCTTACCGAGGGTAATAGTGATGGGTCGCCATTATACTCGCCAAAGGTGTGGGGATCCTGTTGCGTATCCTCTGCCGGCACTCGGTTCTCCAGCAAGGCCTCGAGATGCACGAGTCGGTTCTTCAGATTACGCAAGTGACCTTTCTTAGGTCCTCGCGCACTCCGCTGGGTCAACACGCAAGCGACTCCCGTGCCCAGGCAGAGTCCACATTGAGGTTTCTGTCCGTCGCAGCGCAGTTTCCGGCGTCGGCACTCGTCACAGGCGGTACCCCTACGATGACGGCAAGTCGTAGCTGAAGGTTGGCTCATTTCTGTGTGGATGTTAACTTCCATCCTGTATTCCGGATATGTGCGGATTTTTAAATTATCCTTGTATAGGCCGAGGACAAGGCACGGAAGATACTTCGATCGTCAATTGTCTAGGCACTGCCACGTTGACTAGCGCCTGAATAGTGCTGACGAGTAGCTGCAACGCATCCAAAACTGGTTAGATACTTTCAAAGCAGTGGCAGTCAAAACAAGACGCTTAATTAGATACTCCGAGGCTGCAATACATGTTCCGAATAGAACCCAGCATGACGGGCAAAAGATCTGGGCCTGTTTCCTTGTAGTAACCTCGGTCTGCATGCCGCGGCAAGTTGATTAACACATCAAATCCATTTTAAAAACGCAAAATGCAAACCACTTCCTCGCCGGCAAGCGCATCATTGTGGTCGGCGCCAGTTTCGCCGGACTAACATTCATCAACGTTGTCAACCAGCAATGGAACTCGTGCCTAGAGCGACCCGAAAAGCGGTCATAGAACAAAGTGACCGCGCATTGTCAATCCTGAAGGATCCATAGGTACTCTGAACTGGGCCAGCCTGGAAGAAATTTAAATAGTGAATTTATGATAAATACTACGGGCTGGAACACATGCTGGTCAATCTCTCTAGCGAGTATGGCGAGAACTAATACCGATCGGATCTGTTTTGCTGCTTGAGATTTGGAATATAGCAAAGAAATCCGGTGAGTATAAGTGAGATAAGACTCCCTCAGTTAGACCATACAGAAATATTCTAAAGAATAGTTAGTTTGTATCTAGAAGTGCTATAATATATATATTTAAAAACTCTCCGGCGGCAAGTCAACGGCAAATACAGAATTCAAATTTATTTTAATAAATTCTTAAAGACCTGTAAAACTGTTTATTTTCTATAAAAATTAACAGATAAAAAAGCCTATACGGAGGAATATATAAAATATTTTCTTCTTTATTAAAATGACTAACAGTAAATTTCTTAATCCGGTATAGTTTATTTTAAATATTATTAAAAGTAGATTTTAGGTTCTGATTCGCTTTCTTAATATCCGAATTAAGTTTTTCTAGCCTTATTAAACAATCGTTCAGATTAATCTTATCTATTTTAAAATTAATAATAATCGTATCTTTGGCTTCGATTATGGCCTTACTATATATTATATTTCTACTTTGTTTACGCCAGGTATTCCGTCTGTTTTTTAATTTCAGCTGTCAGCTTTTTTAATTAAATATTTTAATTAAGAAGGTTTTAGATCTGCTTTTCAACCAGGCTTTCTTTCTTTTAAATAATCTTTTCAAATTTCTGGATTTGGATTATTATCTCTCAGTGCTGGCTTTTCTTCTTTTTATTAATTTTAAACATCTCGTCGATAACCGCCTTCTTATTTTTAATCTTATTATTTATCTTATCCAATCGACCTTAAGGTTTTCTGTTAACTTTATAAATATTTATAATTATTTCATATCTGATTAATGAAGATAATACTTTAAGTTAATTGAAGAAGCTTAAATAGTCTAAACTGCAGGAACTAGACTTAAAAATACCGCGACTGCCATACTTAGGTTTTTATATATTATAACTGATATTAAAACTCAGAAAATATGTAAAAATATATAAGATACACAACAGATATTGCTTTGCTGTTTAGCTTAAGCAAACTACCCAGAAATAAAAATAAGCAAGGTCAATCCCGTTTATTTATCATAAAAAGCAGATTAAGACTACTTGCCAAAAAGCCATTATATCTCCCAATCTTATTTACTCTCTATTAAATCTGCTTATCTTGATTCAAGGCGAAAGTAAACAAAAGAGTTGTGGCATACTATATATGGCTACTATACTACTAGTATTGAGATTGTCTGGTCGCTCTTGTTTTAGGTTCTTTAGATATCTTCCGGATTATAATATCAAACATCAAACAACAGTAATATGATTGAAGCTGCCTTAGGCTGGGTTTTTGACCAGCTTTTTAAAAGTAAAGCTATATAATGTGTTGCTCAGACAGATGGATACCCCGCAGTTTCTTATCAGTCAATGAGGAATCTCTTTTAACGGGTCGGAATGGCCGGATGCATTTTAATTGATGGAAAGCAGCTCGCCTATAAATATATTAGAATAAGCAAATATTATCGAGCCTATTAGAATATATCTCAAGTAATTATGGCTTTCGAATAAGATGTATAATTAATAAAAAACGGAATAGAATATCTAATATAATTCCCGCTGGCATTAACTCGCAAAAAAGTATATATTCTTAATTTAAACTAATAAAAGTATAAAAACAATCTTATCTCTGACTAAGAAACGTCCGATGTTAAGATATATTAAACCTTTTAAACGTATAATATTAATTTTTATACAGAAGCTGGCCAGCATTTCTCAACGCGATATACAAAATTAGATCTTAATTATAGATAGATACTATAGAATATCAAACGTACAAAAACAAACTGTTAATAATAAATAGAAAGAAAAAATATTTTAATAAATATAGTATAAACACAGTAAGCTTAGATAAGCAGTATATTACCAGTCCGAATAGACTGTAATATCCGCTTGGCTGCAGTAGCTTACTAATATTTTTAAAGATTATAATTATTATCTGTCTATCTAGCCGAATATTATATAAACTTATACTTTTTACTATATACTCCGCCATAGCGGAGTCTGTACTAGACTTAGCAAATTTATTATATAAAAGCTTAAAGCAGGAAAATCTTTCAGAAAATCATAAAAAAAGCCCTGTAGCCGCAATTTGTCCATACTATAAGTAATATACTAAACCAGCTAGTCTAATAAAATATTATTATAAAAAAGTCTAAAAAAAGAAAGTTATAAAATATTAATTACTGCAAATTACTTATCGAGTCTATCAGACTTGTCCAGATCCGCAAAACAGGCGGTCGTCTTTTTGTAGGCTAATTTTTGAAGTTCAGAAATAATATAAATATGGAAGAATATATATATATAGATGAGAAGAAGATGATTCTCCAATATAAAGTCCGTTTCTGGAGTTCCTGTTCCAGGCTTATCCTCGATGTCTGTATCGATCTTTTTCGGGATAAACGAGGTCAGTAGGCTCCAGAAGGGTGATTGGAGTAGGATAATCTCCTTAATATGCCTACTCAATAAACCGAGCTACTGTTTTTTCTTTTACATCTTCAAATTTGTATAGGGAGTCCTGTTCTTCTTTTAAGCGTACTATCCAAAGCTGTAATTAAAAGTCTGGATTTTAATTATAACAGTTTTCGATGAATTTTAAACGATCGTCCCGTCTGACGAACTCGAAGAAATACAAAACCTAAATTTAAAAAGTTAACGAATGTAAGCATCATCTATATTTATAATAAAGAAAGACATATTTAATATATGCTATTTTATAAATCCCTAGCATCTTTTCGTCAGCTAATTAAAGTAAGGGTGAGATTCTGTATGCGATAAATAAAGAATAGTTTTCTAAATAATCAGACTGTAAAACTTCTGTTAAAGATAGCGATCTTAATTTTTTATACTTATTATTCTTTTTGCGCCCTATTATATTACTATCTAATAAGAATAAGAGCATCCTATCGGTTATAAAGTATCTGAATTCCGCTGACCAATATATATTTTGTTTTTCTTAATTAAAAATTATAATTCCCGGTTAAAAATTATAGTAATCTAATTATATTATATTTAATTGTATTATTTCAAGACATCTGAAAACAAATTATTATAGAATATATACTTCAGTTCTGACCAACTAAAAACAAGAGCCTAGTTTATGTTGATGTAAAGCCAGCTTGGCCTGGGATGGACCTTGGGCATAAAACTGCGAGATCGATGATCGATGATTAGTGGGTACTTCATCAATCCTATTCCACAGACATTTTAAATCGAAAGTCCCTGAAGATCTTTTTAATTTACAATCTAATCTCTTGGCCCTCTCATCAAAAAGGCCTCATCAAAAGGCGATGCATAGACAGAGGAACGTTTCAGGTCACCTCAACTAGCAGTACTGTTTTCCTCCGCCCCCTCGGGGGATTCGTCCATTTTCAACATCGGGGTCGTCACAAGCGGCAAGAGAAATATGGTAAACAGAGAGGCAGTCTCCGTGGGCAGAGCCACCCCTTGAGCCTGGGCAGTAGTACGTACTATCCCCAGCAGCTTCCTCCCTCCGTCCTACCATCGTGTTAATAACTTGGCAGCGACGAAAAGGGTGATAAACACCTCTTAATTATCAGACTCATCTAACCCATTTAATAAAGCTAGAAGGGCCCCCAATAAAAAAAAGCTATTACTAACCGGCATGCGCTCATCGCCCCAGCACGAGCGATAAATACAGATCAGATGGGCGATGTTTCACACTGCCGACAGCCGTACGGCACGGGCGTAGAGCCCAACTTAATCAATCGGCGAGGGCAGTATGGCGGATAGAACCACGCCATACAGCATCAGAACAGTCAAGTGATAAAACATACTACATCACTCTATAAGTCACCAATCGAACCAAATCGTACACCAGATACTCACTGCAGACACAGAATATGAGGCGCTTCGAATCGCATGCTCTTTAAACATACGGGCCAGTGGTCTGCGCCATGTTGGAGATGTTTGTATAATACAGTAACCCGCGCGGTAAGATCGGCGTGTGGCGGCAGCTCGAATAATCGAGTCATTTTATAAACAATCAAAATCAAATTCGAAAGCACGATGAATAAATAATCCATATAACTAAAAATACCAGCTACTGGGCGTGGATAGGGCTGCCATATATCATCTGCGCTATTCTTATAGCGTATCTGTAGGAGACGGTGGCGGTCGGGTAAGAAGATCGCCGGGCGGCTCCAGTCGGTCAGAGCATGGATCCTGGCCGACGCGTCAGTAGAGCTCCTTCATAAGGACCGGGCGCATGGGGGGCGATGGAGGAGAAAGTCGAAGTTCGGGCGGAGGGGCCGTACGTGGCGACGTTAAATAGCCCCCAGACGGTTCGATTCAGCCCATAAACCATCCATAAGGTTTCTAAATCGGAATTAGTAGTAAGACTGGAATTCTTCTGCAACAGTTTTTGTAATACGTATGCAAGCTGGTTCTAATAGATCCAGCCCTGACGGTCGCGACCGATCCGAGCAGTACTACATAGAAGGTCAACCCGGGACTTTGTTAGAGGCGTTGTAAAAATGACCTACCACAATCATAGGATTCCCAAACCCTGCACAGTCGGCAATATAATACACCCGGCTTTCTAATCGAATAACCGCTTTGCTTCCTCATAGAAATAGAGGCCTTTGGAGGCAGTATCGCCGGGGATGGTAAACACATCCCGGTGGTCCGAGTAGACCTAAGCGCATTAGCTGAATATTAAATTACTATAAGACACGTGCCAACCTACATATACGTCGGCCAGAATACTGTTGACCAGAAACGGAAAATAGAATTACCCTATCCGCTTGCCAGTCTGCATCTCCCGCAAAAACAAATCCCGGTCGATCCAGTTGTAGAAGGGATGCGACCAGATAAACCAGAGCGAGATGAGATATGACATAAAATAGAAATCAGATACTACAGCGGTCTAAAAGTATACTGGTACGAGGTAGCGTAGCGAGTCGGCGGCACATTTAGCTTCAAATATACAGCGCATAGGCCTCAAACAATCGGGGGATTATAAATGTCGGGCTTTACAATTCAGTTGAGCCAGGCCGGGCGTCAGCTCCAGTTCCGACAGCGGGAAACGTAGATAAATATACTGGCGGATTTCGTTAAGGGTGGGATCGGTGCGGATGAGGTCGATGAGGGGCATGATATAATTATTACCACTTTCACAAATAACACTCACAAAATAGACCAGCAATACCTCCTTATCTGCTAATTCATCGATCTTGCATTTGAGAGCGCCCCGACAGCGTTTATCAGCATTCTTATTAAGAGTACATTTAATATTGCTTTTAACGCAGCTGGTATAGGATACAGATCCGGTACACTACAGTCCACCTTCGGTTTAGTGTGTGTATAAAGGAAAAAGAGAGAAGAAAAGATGATAGGAGGGAGAAATAATAGAAGAGGTTGAGCCGCGCACCTTTAGTTTCTGTATTTTGCAGGCGGCACAAGCAGTACCAATATTCTTTCTGCGTTTGTGATTGTAGAGAGCAGTATTGGCACCAAAAGGGGCCGAAGCCAAAGGGCGCAACTTATTTTCGGACATGATGAGGATCTATGATTAAATCGGACGGGGAGAAGCGGAAGGTGGGGTAAGGAGGAGGGAAGAGGAAGAAGGGACAAAGGCGAGAAAATATGGAGCGAAGGAAAGGGAAAGAAGGAAAAAAAGGTTAAGGAGGAAGAGGAAAGGTCAAGGGAAACAGGGCGCAGGAATTGCGACGTAGAGAAGAGGAAGAGGGCAGGATGGTAGAAGAAAGAGGAGGGATAGGAGGGGAGGAGACCGCAAGAGGGAAAAGATGGATATGCAAGATGAGAGGAGAGAAAGCAGGTCGAAAGCAGGTCGGTCGATTTAGCGCGAGGGAGGGAGGGGAGAGAGGAATGACGGCGGACGATTGGGTGGTGGGAACATCCCTTCCACTCGATTGGGATCAAAGTGGATAAAATGGATGGCCCCGAATCGAACGAGAAGGTGGAGAGTGGACGGAAGTGGATCGACCCGCTTGATGCTCATGCTCATGCTCATGCTCATACTCTACTTCCAGGTTCTGTATGAATGGGACATGCTGAAGATTGGAGAAGAAGTACGTAGTATTCCGTACAGACACTATACACTAGACACTAGACAATAGCAAAAGACCATAATAATAATAGATAGACCGACACGGATATTGCAGGTGCAGAACTATTGACTTCAGTGGCCTGTAGGTAGTACGTATTAACTTAAATCGCAAGACTCATTTACTCAGCGGCGGTAGTTAACTAATTTCTGTATAGTTGACTGCAGTTAGCTTGACATACTTTAGATTGTACAGTACATACTATGGAGGAAATGTGATCTGGTTGATAAAAGTGAGCCTTAAATACAGAGTCCGATACGCATATTTGAATAACGATAGTGAACAAGAAACAAAAGCCCGCTAAAACTGAGTCAATACACAACGCTTTCTTCACGTTTGGTCTTTAATGTGTACTTCCCAAGCAATCATTTTGCAGATGAAACCCCAAAAACTCATCTGCTGTACTATCCTCATTGACCGACCAGCAAGCTACGAATTCAACTGGGCTCTCTCCCCTTTGGGTTGTAAAGAACTCATAGAGATTTTGATCTTCCGTTCTTCCGTTCGAAATTCGCTTCCGTGATACGAGATATGAGAAGTTCCCGGCTTCTTGGTTGATGTCCAGCGACTGAAAAGTCTGGAACGATAATGTCAGGGAGTCAGCAACAGGTTCAACATCCATTAAATCTGCAGCCGATGTCTCCAAGCCATCCAGACTCGGTCCGCTTCTGAGGGTCTCGATCTGCGGAAATAATGGGTTGGCGGTTGGGGGTGATGGACTGATAGTAATCCAACCAGGATATTCTGGAGGCCATCTTCGAGAGGCGTCAGGTTGGCTCCGAGAAAGGCACCAAAGACACAGCGGCGGACAAACCAAGAAGTCACATGATTCTCCTTGGGAAACTCATCAATAAAGAGTGGCAAGAATAAAGTCGATTTGTCATGTTCCTGGGCTTGCAGTTTTGGCAGACCACAGCGAGCTTGGGCTTATACGGGTTTGCTTAAAGTAGGTTGTGTTGCAGTCTCGCAAGCAGGTCTAGCGGTCGCAAAACATTCCAAATGCAGACTTTGCGTTGGCGTACCCCCGGGCAATTGATTGCGACTAGTCTATGTACCATACTCAGCCTCATCCCGTCTATCCAGAGACCTGGGATATCCAGTAGCTCGTCGAAGGCTTTTTGAAGCCAGCTGTTACTGATAATTTGCTCCCGGCGTTGGCGATTAGATAATGATAAATGGGCCTTCACCTTGTCCCAATAGAATGGTCATCGTCAAATTGACGGGTTTTGCGATAGATATACCCATCTGTATGTTCTCGGTTAAGATCGTACTCTTCAACTAGGTGATCCCTTAGAGCATCATCAACATCTATTACCGAGCATTCATTAGCATTCAATTTCTGCTTTTCTTACGATAGCAGTATCTTACCATCCAGATAGATATCTGCGACCCACCACTTGCCATAATTACTCGCGAGATATATCCTGGAAGGCTCGACACCGTTTGCTAATTCTGATACATTTATGGGCGAGCTGCCTTCCACCAATTAAGATGCGTCGGGCCATTCCGACCCGTCGTCGGAAGAAATTCTCCATCGACTGACAAGAAACTGCGGGGTACCCGCCTGTCTGAGCGACACGTTGCATAGCCTCACTTTCAAAAGCCAGCCCAAAGCAGCTTCAATTATATCACTGTCCTTTGACATCTGATATTGTTGACCGGGAAGATACCCAGAGGACTTAAAAGCGAGAGCGACCATACAATCTCGATACCGGTGGTGTGGTAGCCACATGGAGTATGCCACAACTCCCTTGTTCACTTTCGCCTTGAATCAAGGCAAGCAAACTCAATGGAGAGTGAAATGAGATTGAGAGATATGATGGCTTTTGGCAAGTAGTCTTGAACTGCTCTTTATGATAAATAAACTGGATTGACCTTGCTTGTTTTTTTTGGGTAGTCTGCTCAAGCTAAACAGAATAGCAACGTCTGTTGCCAGTTCTCTCCGTGCCTATTCCTATCCTATGGAATCACAACTTCCCCAGCGCCAAAAGCTAGCCTGCTATGCTTCTTCCTCATCACAGTAGTGATCATGGCGATCGCTCTAGTACGCGTGATTCTGGGCGTCGATTACGGCCAGAATATGGACATCTCCTGGTTCTACTTCTGGTCGTCAATGGAGATAGGAGCCGGTACGTGGTCTTGGTTCCCTGCTATCATTTGCCATTCATCGACTCTAATCCTCTGTTTAATCCTTATCTTCATGGCAGCGGTAATGGTCGCCTGCGCCGCATCCTCCCGCCAACTCTGTGTCACCTCCCGTAACCGGCACTTGTTTAAACAGACCTCAGAGTCAATCATGCATCCGCTGAGCAGGTCGACTCAGGCCATCGCCGACTTCTAGATCTGCGTGGTGCAAAGTCTGGTGCATCAGGTCTATTGATTGCGTAGCGGATCGTGCCAGACGGTTGATGACCAACAAGATTTATCCGCGGCTGCCAGAGATCTAAGAAGCTCGTCGCGGAAGATGCGGAGCATATGAAAGGCGCTCGATATTGCGTGCGAGTGTGTTGCAGATTATTAGACAAATCTTTCGAACCGGGAGAGGCGCCCTCATGGGAAACTGTTCGTAGGAGCGACAAGAGATCACGCCCCAAACTTTATGGGGGACAATAATATTGACCGACATGAAGGAACGTATTTTGTTTAGACGCAGAGTGTTGACCTGACTTGGCGACATTGCCCGCAGGTATGCACATGACATGTCAAGCGTATGCTTGGCATTCTCGGTGTCCCGACAGATCATCCGAGAATTCGTTTGCTCCTGGTCATATACTAACCAAACTTGCTCTGCATGTGGGATTTTCTGTGCTTGGTGGGGAATGGCCAACTCCATAAAACTTGATTCTGTTAAAGCTGGCGAAATGAGTGCATGCGTCTCGCTTTCATACTTAGTCACCACCACATGGCTAAAGCCAGTCAAATCTCTGACTGAGCTCACCGTGATCTCCAACAAGGCCTCTACAGTCGAAGCACTACCTAGCTGATTTTGTATTTGGTCGACAATTCTAATCGCTTCCATAGCGGTGAGTTCGGCGACACCCTTGCGTGTACTAGGCAGTATACGCAATGGTCGGTAGATACCATCAAACACACTAGTTTTGCGGCAGTTTTTTGGTAAGTGGCCTGAGGTTCCGGCCAAGCCAGCTGGAAGTATCCTAGCGGCAGCATTAAGAGGGTTCATATGATCATTTTGCAATTCAAATTCGCATATCAATGTATTCCTATCGAGAGGATTGGCGTGAAGGGAACACCAAAGCCGCCGTGAAATGCCAAGCCGATCGTCAATAGTAAGTTCAAACATTGCGGGACCAACGATGACGCGGTTATCGACCGGAGGCTGAATGAGGTCAATGTAGTGGGAGAATATCTCAACTTGATCGTCATTTAAAAGGTCAGAGAAGCTCTGAAGCGCAAATAGAGTATCTGGTGAGTGACCTAACACCGTCTCTGAGTTGTCGCTAGCCATCTGCACTACAAAAGCTCCTTCCAAATACTCCTGTAAGATGACCATGGCGCCGAAACTTTGTACTGAACCATAGGATGCGCCGGTCACAGCCCCTGTAAATGACTTGAGACCAGCTTGTGTCTCGGACGAGCCAGGATGTTTCATGACAGGGTTCGAGTAGTCGCCACGGCTGCGTCGAGGAGAAGAAGAGCGACCGCGGCGTGTCTTCATTTGAAATGTATGCACCGATCGTCACATATGTCTGGCCCGGATTCGTGGGAAGAGAAAGGAGAAATTATATGGTCGAGTTAGGAATATGTTGCAAGATATTTCCGATTATATCTTGTGCGAAAACAGTGAAATCTAGCTTCGTAATGACACCTGATCATGTGTGTATCTCTGTGGTTATTGATTTCTAATCAGCTATCGTTGAGCAGACTCCTGCAATTGACATGGGTCTTAGGTGGACTTTTTAACTAAGCCGGCTGACAGCCGAGGACCGGCAAGGGATTTTATTACTGGAGCGACGTAGACATGAGCTAATAATCAACGTAAAAAGTACATGAAACAAGCTATTCCCAGTAAACCAACGACCTGAACCCATTTTCAGATAGATTCCACCTAGAACCAGTCTTATTAGGAAGTAGCAGCCACTCATTGACTGGATGATCCAACATGAAACGCAGCAGAAACTAGATTCAAATCATGCAAAGCAGTGTTGAAATCATTCTGAAGCAAGAAGAGAATTCAGCGCAGAGCCAGGTATTGAATGCCGAAGAGGTCGTAAAGTCGATTATAGACTTCTGCGGTGTTGATCTAGCAGAAAACTGAAGCAGGCACAAGTGGCGAGAGCGAAGAAATCCCTCGAAGCTAGTTACAAAAGCCGTATGCGATAATCTGTATCCGAAAGTCAATTGCACAGTGGCTGACCAAATACCAAGAGTGGTTAAGATATAGCGGGCTCGTCACTTGTGGCAGGTGATATTTGGTCCGCAATATACGGATGGGTTCTTTGTGTCTCGCTTTGGGTTGATACACGCCCCTTAATGGAACCCATTGTCTATCAATACAGGAAAAGCCAGAACTGTCTTTGTAGAAGCTTTACTCTCCCTCTAGGGAAATGTCCCTGACATTGGTAACTGGAAAGGAAATCTTGCTTATAGGTGTAGACGCCAGCACGCTTACCCCGCGCGCGACCCACCTGAAATTGCCCTACTTCTCGGCGATGACATCCGAGCGAATGCTGTTTCTTTGCTCCACCATACGCCATAATCGTTAATGGTCTTCAGTCAAGTAGCAGTGGCAAATGACCCCTCGGGTAGCGCCTCGGCATGGGAAGTAGCGAGAGGTGGCAGGTAGGCTGTGGTAATTTGAATAAGAGTAAGGGGTTTGAAGCTAGACATGGTAGGGGATTCTGATTGGGCGGGCAAGACAGCCGAAAGCCTGTGTGAGAATGGATGTAATGTGACTAATTGCAAATGAAGGGTGGCTGGGCCATGCCCGGCCATATAAGTTATAATCGTCGGATACATTATCCGTCGATCATGATTAGAATAGACACACGATCTCATCTGTAGACAACCCTGAGGTATTCGACACTGATCAAGGCTAGTGCTATGACGAGAGCATTACTTCTAGAAACCCCGAGGCATTTATTGGCAAGTCCATCTGCTGACTACCCCTTCCGCTCCCGTGTTCCATCAAACAGGCCCATGAACAAACAAGAGGGAATCCGATTCAAACATCATTCATATCCTAAACCACTAGGTGAAAGCCCAATCTCTACTCTCAAGCATTGGTTTACCGAAGACCCCCACCCCAATAACTCGCTGAAAATCAGCAAAACAGATGGATTACTGATCGATTATCTAATTGTCAGTCGAAATTCGCTCAATACGTACGGCCAGGAACTTGATGTCAAATAAGTACTATTTTTTGTAGTTATTATTATTAGCTAGTACCTAACCATTACCTGGCGATTCCAGTGCTTTGCACAAACATGCTCCGCAAAACCTATCGATACCGCAACATAGCTCATTAATTCAATTATGTTTAAGGACTTCTGATATTCTGATGACCATTAGTGCGCGCTATAGTATATGCGAGGCTTACCACAAACATTTCTTTCATCCATGGATTTCCAGGCAGTCTTTCATCAACCAATAACTCAGATTGCCTCTGGCAGATTGGCTCATCTGTAGGGTCATGATATCGCTCAAGGTAAGAATGTGCAAGGGCGTCTGAAGCGGATAGCCTCCCTCGGGGCTCGAACACCAGCATCCTTTTAAGTAAGTCGAGTACTAGTCCCATAAGCTGGGGCTTTTCAGACTCTGGCACCAAGGGAGGCCCTTGGCGTAGAGGGGTGGCAGAGCAGAAAAAGCCTACCAAGTGTAGTATCAGTGCTTTCGAATAAAGCCAGACTACTCATGTCTGGAACTCGTGGCGAGTCATGATACATTGGCTTGAACACATCTGTAGCGATCTCAAAGGTCTTGTCGCAAATCTCCTTGATATTAGCTCGCGTTCGATCTCATAAGAAAAAGATTTATTGTTACTTTTCTGTCACAACATTTCTCGAGCATCCATTCCGGCGGGGAGCCCAATAAGTCTCTGAATATTTCGAGTTGCTGCCTCAAATCTTCACCGGCGAAGAGTGCGTTCCCCTGAAGCATCTCACCTAAAATACACCCCGTACTAAAAATATCGGCTGATGAGTCTGCTCGCTGGTAGGCAAGAATAGCCTCCGGGGCTTGATAGTGGTTATTGAACCGACTACCGATTGGACAGTACCTGGGGCTATTGATCTCGATATTGCTAATTTTGATTTCAGCGTGGTCATCGACAAGGATCACAGAAGGCTTAAGATCACAGTGAGACAGGCCTGTGGAATGAAGATATTTTAATCCTCGCTTGATAGCTGTCAGTAATCAGTTCACCTCTCACTCACTGAAGCCCGTACTCACGAGAATCTGATATACGAAATAGGTGGCAAATGCATTGTCTATACCACCCTTTCTGATTATTTGGGTCAGATGAGTCTTTGAGGACTCGCTCACAAGGTAACTAGATGCTGTCAATGACTTCTCAAAGGCAAGACCTCAGTGATACACAGACATGTTGTCTAAAGGTGAGACGAAAATATGACTGAGCAAGACTAGCTTCGCTCCAACATGGTTATCAGTAGCCGCGTAGAACTGATAATTCACGCTTACTCACATTGCTATGCTGGAGTTGCTTCAACAAAACTATTTCCTCAAGAACCTCTCTTGATTTGCGTCTCGTTTTGAAGGGGGACCTTATTTTCCTCAAGACGACATGCTGCTGCCTAATCTCATCATATGCGGAGCTTTCCCATAGCTCTATCAGTGCACGGAAGATTACGGCATGTTGCCGTGTGATTCTGAATTTGAGAAGGTACCAGAGGAGACCAGATAACAACAGCTCTTTTGCCTTGAGATCAGTGTATCTGCAAGCAATAAGCTTCCTAACGGTGCCGATATAGGCCTTCAGACTTCCAAACTAACCTTGTAGTAGTTTCGAAAATTGTACCTAGTATTTCCGACTGTACAAAGCTCGCCATGTTGAAAGTGTTTCCTATTTTTTCAATGGACCGACGATGAGATGCAACAAAAAATTGTGCTTCCTAACGGATGTTCCTTTTGCTTAACCGATTAAGGAGATTTGGCTAGGGGATAAGGGAAGTGACTAAAGCTTTGGAGAAAAGAGGCTTTAAAAATATACTGCTATAGTTTAAGATAGCAGGGTAATTTAGCATCAGACTCGTAATAGCAAATATGTTGAACAGTTGCCACCCGCGTAATTCCTGCAAAACTGACTCGGTGGTTTTTCTTAGCAGGTAGTTGAACTTTCCTTTTGACTGCAACTCACCTAAATGGTCTTTCGGCCCTAGCATTGCCAGCAGTCTATTGTCAAATCCATGGGCCAACTAGCTTGGCATCAACTGCTAAGCAGGGAGCGAGACGTCTGGGCCGGTCCATGTCCCTTTGAAATGCTACAACACGACTAATCCTTTGCCCGATCAGGATTGCTGTGGACGTCGCGCACCTCAAAACCGGTTTTCGGCTGTTCGAGGTCGTGGGTATCCGCTCGAATTTGAAGTCTTGGATAGTTTGACCGGTAGATAACATGTTAAATCATCTTGTCAGATACCAATGGCATCGAGTACGGTTTTGGCGAGATAAAATTCGAAACCTCACAAGAGAACTATGTACATTAGTGCACACTGCCGGTAGAGTGACTGATTATCGCACAGGTTTTCTAAATAAATGCAGGCAAAAAAATCTTTGAAAACTAGCAACATCACTTTGAAATCAGAAAATTGCATCAAGATATTTCTATCGGTCAGCTGTACAAGCGTTGTGGTGTCAATAAGAGGATAAGATGTACTTATGAAACTACGTTAAGGCCCTTGTATTGAGTACAGTTCGCTCGTTACCCGGCATATTCTGGCTAGATATTTGCCCCAATCCCTCCAATAATAGACATTAGTCCCTACCAGTACGTGGCTGCATTGCGACCGCCATGAACCTGGATGGGATACTTCTGAATCGCAACAAGTGCAACATTCGCCAGACGAATCCAGTGCGCTACAGAGCGCCGGCCGCAACAGCGTAGCATAGCTTCAACTGTGTGAGATGTTGGACTTGTACTATTTTATTCTTTGGGTAGAGCGTATCGCTCATTACAACGGAAGGTGTGCGATCGTTGATCCAACGTATAACACGTCAAGACGCGCTGTAATCAGTAAGCATTACTCCTTACCCCTCCAGGTTCGGGTGCAATTGTGATTTACATCCGGCAGTGCGTCTGTGCACGTTAACCATGCTTCAATTACTAACTCCATCTTCCATGCAAGCTGACAATTTAATACTGAGAAAGGCTTGTCGGTAAAAGTGCACGCTATGAATCCTCGTTGATCATTTGCGACGACTGTCAGAAGCCCATCGCGGCCAAGTACGCTGAGAAACGGCAGAAAAGATCGCCACATAGCCGCATCAGTCGTCCATTTGCGATGCCTTAGTAAGCACATATAACTTATACAGGGCCTTTTAGCTCCCATTGCAATCAACTGCAGGTCACACGTCGCTTCGCCCGTCTTCCTCAGTTCCACAGGAGGAAATTTTTAGTTTTCGAATGGGCCGCAGATCCAGTTTGGAAATGAAAGTCCATTATCAGGGCTCTAACCAACTCCGCATTCTACAAGGTATTGTCCGGCCGAAGGTCGTTATGCAGGATACCGGACAGACGGATTGCCCTAGTGGACCTCGAAATCTCACGAGCAACCGCCATTTCCTGCATTCTTAGACCAACGGCTCGCCACCCTAAGCCATCAGCAGCATATAACGAATTTCCCCATCACCATGGACAAAGTAGAATTTATCCAAATCGAGCTTGCCCAGAACACCGGTACAGCTGATCCTTGCACTCGCGAAAGTATACCATATATTTCGGCCTCACAAGATACCTGATGCCAGAGTGGTCGTGTGATTCCTTTCCCGACCACTGTATATCCATATGTGGTGCAGGTGACCTTGAACGGCACCCCTTATGCACCACGATGTCCGATTGGTGCGCAGCCGTGGTCGATGTTCCCGTATAGCTGCTGCTTGATCTGCTTGACCATAGTCTCTGTCTTGATCAGGTGAAATTGACTGTTCCCTCCCTTTCGATGAAGCCCGACATTGGGACATCGCAAATCCAGTTCGCCGCCCTGTTGCAAACCTAGCAAGCAACGCTGAGTGCAGAAAGGTCTAGTGTTCTTCTGGCATCGATCACCCGGCCCGTGGCGAGAGCCTGTGTGGCGAGCCGGCGGTTGTACCGAAGGGGATGCTGGAGACGATAGTACTGGTTTAGATGACGTTTTCGTCCTTCCATGGCGTCATCTGCCTCTGAGTCGGACGAAAAGCCGGCGTCTTCTGGATTGAACATGGGATTCGAAGGTGCACAGCTACGTCGCGACCGAGTGGCAATCTGACGTTGGAGGGGCGACTGCACCGGCGACGATGAGGAATATATTCGGACGCGTAGGTTCGGAGCCGGTGTACTCTGAGGCTGTATATCCCAAACCGGGTGGATTGTGGTGCAATTCTGACGCGGAAATTTGTGAACGTGTATGGTCGAAGCTTGTCTTCCATTCCGGCAGATGCGCCCGCGCCGCATTCCTCCACTCCTGATCTCGATACCGCGATTGAAAACTCATCAAGCACAGGCACAGCACCCGGGCAACAGATGTCACCGGCTGCTGTAGCAGATTCTCGTCCTTCCAATGATTGACTTCCATATTTGGTTCGCAGAGGTGGTAGTACAGCGTGCTTGACCGTCATAGTCTACCTTCAGCAGGACCAAGGCGAGGCCGTTCGTCAGATACGAGTATTTGAGACCTTCCTGGATCATGAACATGGTATTCCTGTACCACTGCCGAGCCTGTCAGCCAGGCGGTTTTATTTGAATTTCTCAGGCCTCTCCGTGGAAACAGAATCCGGCCTGTTCACCTCACGCCAGAAATCCAGCGGTCGGAGTTTTGCGCGAAAATTCTCCACGGACAGCTTGTGAGGTGGTTTATATTCGACCGTCATCTATAGGGCTTTTTGTTTGCCATCCGCGCGATGGATGCAGAATTGATCGGGTCTGGAACGCCGAGAACTGGTTGTCTTGTCCTTGCCATGTTTATCCTCTTCATCTGTGTCAAGAGCGTTGGCATATCTGTCAAACTGGACACCTTCGCCCAACCTGAGTTCGTCTCGAGCAGCATCTATGGTGTGCAGCTTTTTAATAATATCGCGGACGTGATTTCCAACGCAAAATCGTTCGTAAATCTCAAAATCCTGCTCACTGCTTATGGGTCCTTCGCTGAATTCGTCTCCGAGAGCTTTCAGAAAGAGTCGCGGCTGCAATAAGAGCCCCGCATCTGATCTGACGGTTGTGAGTAGTCGCACACCGAACGGTAGATCTGCCCTTGAATGGCGATGCAGTCTACCCACGGCCGGAACCGCGATGGACAGCACTTTCCCATGGGCGGCGGCATCTTCCCCGTGGTCGATTGAGATGGTGCTTCGATTTTCAAGCGCTGTAAGAAAAAATCGTGGCAGTAACGGATAAGCTCTCCGAAGCTGGTAGGACGCGTTTGTTCTCGCTCTAGATCTCGTTCCTCCTCCGCCTGCTTCCTCTTCTCCTCGGCTAATTTTCTCCGTTCTTCGGCCTCCATTTATAGTACCCTGTATTCCGGTGAGCTTTCATTAGCCATTCAACTTGTGAGAGCTTCCATATATTGTCGAATAGCAAGGTCGGATAGCTGTTGGCCTACGTCACCAGGAAGACACCTTGGCGTGTCTGATAACATCCACTGATGGTTGGAGCCGGAGGATATGATTTTCCGTCGCAGAGCCTTCTCTTGGTCCCGACCCTATCAATCTAGGACCAGAGCAGTTAGCTGCAACCAAGCTCCACATACCATAGCTGCTCATTTCCACCAATATCCACATAATCTTGACCATCAGTATCCTTCGTAGGATTAATGGCAAACTAGCCTCTTCACGGATTTTCCTTGTGCTGTTGCAACCATGATTATTGTTATTTCAGAACAAATTCTGCACTTAGTGGCTTGTTTAACATGTACAAGGTATTGGCACAAGCAATACCAGATTTACGCAAAAGGCCCACAGTCGGCTGCGATGGGTGTGCAAAGTATTTTACCCACTGGCCTAAACTTCGCAAAATGCACATACAGCAATTCGTAGTTGAACACATATTGCAGCCACCTCCATCGTTATCACACCAAAAGCGTACTATCATTTACTTTCTCTCGCCTTTAATCAGAGAAGCCTCCTTTCCAGTTTCAAACTTCTGTGTGATTGTTGTGCAACGCCGATTCCTCGTTGAACAGACTGAACAATGAGTTCAACAACGAATGAGCTAATTTTCAATCAATACGTAGCCTGGTCTCTACGCTATGAAGCTGTGAGCTTCGACCGTACTAGCATAGTTTAGTCAGCCTCGCAACATGTTGCACATATAGTATTTCGTAGTTGATGGCTCATAGCTAAGTGCACCGTTTATCACATTAAAGCAACGTAAGTTCCGCCTGCACTTGTTGAACAATGCTTGTCAGCGATCCTTACGCTCATTGTCCGTCGATTTGGTTCAACCGTTGATCAACTGGCGTTTGATTGACATCATAAGTGTAGACAATCCCTTTATAGCAAATTCAATTTGTACGATAAGCTCCACTGATATACCTTTACGCCATCATACAAAAACTGGTAACGTGATCCTAAAGTTCTTCGTACATGTAAGGGTATAGCACCAACAAGCTTCACCGAGTTTTCCAAAACCACAGGAGAATGATTTAACAAATCTCCGAGAACGTAAATACCAGGCTTCCTCCAAAAACGAGGCTATGATAAGTCCAAGCATTTTGAGGATCAAGGTGAGCAACTTGGCAGACAATTGCCCAAGGAAGGACGTAAAGAAGGCTGGAAATGAGACTTTGCACGAGATACCACATTGGACGGGTGGCCAGCAGTACGGTGGCCAGCTGGGTAGAGATCGCATATAGAATATAACACCTTGAATGGATGAGTGATGATGGATAATCGATAACATAGAAGTTGTAGCTACTGGGAACTCACCAGTCTATCGTCTGCAACATATGAGCCGTAATTTCAGCAACCCTTTCGGATTGACTCAAGTAGTACGCAAACGGTTTGCACCCTACAGTAGCCAGAAGGATGCAGAGGAGTACTTCGATAGCTAAAGCTATACCAGCAGAGAGAAAAGCGGTTCGCGTGACCACTACAAAGCATAAGTTTGTACCCGAAAGCTGCTTGATGACTTGGGACTCACTTGCAAGTTCTCTCCAACTCCCACTCTGTATATTATTTCCCTTGAAGATAGCCCAGGAATGCCCCACAAAAGCGAGAGACGTAGCCTCCAGTGCCTGAACAGGCACCATAATCAAACCCCATCGAATTGTAGTAAATATTCCCCATGCTGTAGCATAGTCTGCGGACATTGTCACAATTCCTGCAACCAACCAGAGGTATAGCGCATTTCGCACTGCCGACTCGACAAAGGTGATCAAACCTGGTTTGAGAAGCGTTAAGAAGGCAGAGAATTTTGGATATTTTCCAATCCAGTGCCAGCTGCATCGTTCTTCGGACAGGTTTGTTGTCAGGATAAAGTATGCTAAGCCAGTAAGAGCCGCGACCATGTCACAGCCCAGACGAATCGCAGCCTGCATGTTAATATTTGGAGACCAGCCACCCACATGAAACTTGAAAATGATCAGGAGATCTAAGATAATGTTCACGATAATCTTGACCGAACTAATCACGAGAGGAACGTCGGGCTTGTCCAGGGCCCTTGTCGCGTTGGATACTGCAACTTCTATAGCAGAGCTGAGGGCTGAGAATGCACTAATCTGAACATAGGTAATACTTGCTTTCCGAGCCTCGCGCCGGACGAAGGTGGCCGTGAAGGCTCTGGCTGCGCTGGTGAAAATTATGCTCATGATCAGACCGAGGACTGTTTGGAACGCGACCAGAGCATGTGCGAGTTCTAGACGAGACTCGTATGACCGCGTAACTTGATCCGCGATAGTCACCCAGACGGCACGAGGAAGACCTTCGTTAAGTACCTCGGCAACAGTGCCGATATAAGTATAGACATCCGTTGTAACCACTAGGGTAGAGTCAATGTTCGCAATCCAGATCTTGACTAGAGTGCTGTACAACGCAGGGAGCATAAAGGAGCCGACATTGTACAGGAGACACCCTGTATAGCTGTAGACATATATCAGGGGTAAATCCTTCACATCGTTTGCCTTGCACCCACCTGGATCGGCGCCACCAGCCGCTCTCAACGGTCCATCGTAGAGACAGAAGGCTATTGTGTGTATGTTCATCGTCCAGGTCGGTCACCGCATGTACTTCGGCAGTGTTATTTCTTAAGATCGGGCCCATTGCTAGGAGTGGGATAATTTTTTAACGAAGACAATCGGAGACCGAACAAGAAGAGTGCCTATAGGAAATAATTAAGTTCTATAGGAAGAATAATAGCGGCAGACTTGTATTAAGTTTCTCCGCTTTATGCTAAGTTATTTGCACTTCTATTAAAGCAGACTGAAAAGTGATATAAAATCAGTAACATCAGGTTTGACTGATGACGACGCCTGTCAGTGCCTCATCTTATCTTCTAACTTATTGCTTGAAGAAGACTGAAAATCCTCTAGCTTGTAGTTGCTGCAATAAAATAGAGATATGATTTTTATATAGCGATCATGCGAGCAGCTTATCGAATCATATCAATCTTTATAACAAATGGTTGTTTCGGGATTTGCGAGAAAGGCTAAATCACTGCCTGTTCGCATCGGTAGATGATTAGAAGTCCGGCATCGAATTCTTCTGAAACCTGACCAAGTGGACTGGTATAGCCAGAAAGTATTTGACTAAAACCGTCAGATCTGAGAATATTAATGGAAGTAAGGGGTCAGCAAAGGGGTCAACACAATTTGTGAGTTTCGCTGTATGTAGCCGAGTCTTTAGTTCATAAGTCGTCCTTTGGCTGGATCATATCATCTGGTTTCATGTTCGGTAGGCGCTTGTCATGTGGATGGATGGATGGATGGATGGATGGATGGATGGATTCATTTACCCTGACCCCTCGCTAAGGCGATATGCAGGCTACTACCACTATTTGTATCTCTTTAATAAACATTGATCCTGTACCAATTCTTAAACGAACTTAGAGCCTCGTTGGAGCCTATTATGGCCTTTGCGCCGTTAATGTTGATTAGCTGCCCTTATGGCGCGCGGCTTCGAAATCGCTGGGATGCTTCCGCAAAGTCCAAGACAGCCTCAACTGTCTTAGTGCGTGAAGCGTTACTGGCTCTACTTCCACCCTCCTGACCTGGTCCTCCCAGCAGGATTGACATGCTATTGAGCGCGTCGCCCACCTTTTCCCGAAGCTCTCGACGTAGGTCTCTGAGCAGCGGGCAGTCTAGAAGGACGTGTATAATACTTTCCCGTTCACCGCAGAGACACCGGTCATCATCGCGGAAGCCGAATAACTTCCCGTACGTGGACAGCCAGCAATGTCACGACCGCATCTGGGTCAGAAGGTATGCTCGATTTCTTGGCAGAGCTCCGTAGAGTCGTCTGGTGTATCCTGCTGGCAGTGTGTTGTCGACTTTCCGGAGACGGCCGCCGTCCCGGGACTCTTTCCATTCCTTTTCCCATTGGGTGAGGATTCCTTGTCTGATGTATGCCCTCTCGCGCGAGAGCAGGGGAGAAAGCGGGTGTGTCTTGCCAGTTATAGCTGCTTCTCAGGCCAGCCGATCGGCTGTGTCGTTGCCGGGGGTCTCGCTGTGTCCGGGGACCCACTGTAATCGAATTGTAATCCCGTGTGTTTTCGTGTTCTTGGCTGCTTGAAGGATCGCAAAGATAATCTGCTGGCCTGATTTATTACCGGGGCTCTGAATAGCCTGTAGTGCTGACATGCTGTCGCTGAGAACAGTGACTTTTCTTGCTCGTTTGTGGCCGGCTCTCCGCTGTTGCAGTACAATTCTAATGATGAGGTTGATTGCATAAAGGATACCGATTAGTTCGGCAGCATGTACCGACCATTGGTCCATGGGTCCGACCTGTACCTGTAAGCTTTCAGTTGTCACTGATTTGTCGTCGAGGACCGCAGCTGCGGCACCCAGGTAGCCTTGACGCCCCGGCGCTTGTCATGTGCTGACAATTCGAGCCCCCTCAGAACAGAAATCGTTCGTTATTCGTGAGGGCCGATTAATTAAGTGATAAAGCCGTACTGTCCTGTTTGTCCATCTCTAAAACATTCCGTTATCATCTGTTATCGACAAGCCGATGTACGTAAGGGTCATAGTCGAGCCACAGTGTGGCGTAGAAGTAGTTGATACGGTATAATGTAGATTAAGAAAGCTGTATTGTTTTTAAGGGAATTATATATTACCGAGCGGTGAGCTTTAGCCTTACCGCCTTGAGGAGAAGTTATCTATCAGGCGGTAGATTTATTCCAGGCGTTGTCTAGGTCCGGGCGGTGAGTTAGATTTCAGGCGGTATTAAATCTCGAGCGGTGGATTGGTCAACCCAGTCTTAGGCGGTGTATCTATCCGAGGCGGTGAAGTAGTCTCAGGCGGTAGACTTATCCGAGGCGGTAAAGCGGTCTTAGGCGGTAGATTAGTCTCAGGCGGTAGACCAGTTTCAGATGGATCTAGTCCGAATATGAACTTTAGTAGCAAGCAGTAAGTAATTTATCTTACTGTTAGATGGTTTTCTAATTGAGGAATAGTACGTCGCATTTTTATATATATATATCTCTAAGTAAATGTGTATTTATCTATTACAATCACTTAAATATAATATTAAATAAGAAACGGGTCTCTATCTATAACTGAAATTTATCCGGAAGAAAGAATTACTGCTCGTCTGATTTTAGACTTATAATTTAAAATTAAGACCATCCGAAACCAGATAGAGAAATAAGCGTCTTTTTATTATTTTAAATTAAGTATCTGTCTAGTAATAAGCTGCTGTATATTCGAAGTTAGTAGAAAATAGAAAATAAATATATATTAATCTAAGGACTTCTTTTAAAATTTTAAACTTAAGATATCAGCTAAGAATGCTGCTTTTTATGATATTAAAGGAAAAGTTACGACTTATCTAATTTAGTTTTATTTAAATATATTTAGATTAGAGTATATTTAATTATAGTTTTGGAAGATAGAATAGCCGGATGATATAACAGATATATATAAGATATAAACAACAATTAAAATATATTTATATAAAGAAATTTCAGTAATAGATTATATTTTATTCTTAATAAAGATTAGATGTAGGCAGTTGACGTATTAAGAATTATTTAGTTAGTTATTATCTATATAGATAATTAGCTATTTTTTATATCTTTTTAATATTTAATTAAGGATTGGTAGCTCTAGCTAAGAAGTGTTAATTTATCTTTCTAATCTTAAAATATTTATTATTAATTTTTAGTAACTACCTAGCAGTAACGTACAGCTGTACTGGTTAGATAAATTATTTAATACTTTACTTTTATAACTGCTGACCATCGGCAGGAAATAATCCTACTTTTCTATTTTTTATTTATTATTAATAAAGAATAGTTACTCTTTATTTCTATTAATATATTAATATACTTAGATTTATATTTGTACGATAAGTTGTATAAATAAATATAGATTTTTAAATTTTATATAGAATATACTAAATATTTTCTAATTCTGATAATTTATAGAATTTCTACTTCCATCTACCGTCTTATAATATATTTTATAACAGATTCTCGGCTTATATAATTATACTATAATAAAGATTATTCTTTTAGTCAGTTCTAAATATATTTTTATAGTTTAGTTTTAATAATAGAATATTGTAATCCGCCTTTTACATTCTCCTACAATATAAAAGAAGTAGCCTTTATTTTTATAGTAATAAGAATATATTCAGCTATCTCTTATTTTATTTTTAGTTTTTATAGTTTTTTAATAGTTTAGATTAGAAATAAACAAATTAATACATCCGCAGTATTATTAATAAAATTAGATAGACCAACTAACTGGAATATTTTTTAATATATTCTTATATAATTTTTTTATAAAGACTATATAATTAAAGTTTTTCAGATACCGACTTATTGCTATACACTACTGAATAAATATCTATCTTATTATCTTAAGCTAAAGATGTTGTATCTGAATTATTTTATATATAGTCTAATACTAAAAGTAAAAAATATTTATAATAATTATATATCTTTCTGTTAGAGTATATATTTACAGTACTTCGGAAGAATATTTAAAGTAATACTGTATAATTCTAATATATTATAATAAAAGAAAGAACCGAGTTTGATTCTGTCTCCGAATTAGTATTTCTTAAAGAAAGAAAACTAAATTAAAAATCTTTATTTATAGATTAAATTATTCGACGTATACCTCTGAGAAAGATATAATATTCTCTATACTATTAAGTTTTATTCAGCTTTTTAAATATTTCTAAACTAGTAAATTATATATATATTATAAATAGATAAGTTTTAATGCCTCTAATACAGTTAAATATTGCGAGGTCTAAAAAAGTAGTAGATAGAAGAAATATAGATTTTAAGTAGTTATAGAATATTATTAATCTGTAAGCGAAGCCTTTTTAATAACTTTAATTAGAATTTAAATTAATTCTATTAATATTTAAAAATATATTAAAGTTAGAAAGTTTGCGTTAAATATAAATAATTATTAAAATAAAGCTTAATATTTTAAAAACCAGGAAAATGACGGGCACGCCGGCAAGACGAAAATAAAATATATAATATTAATAGTATATATTTTATTTAGATTATATAACTAAATCGTATAAATTTAGATAAGGATTTAGAGTAACAGTTACTTCTCTAATATTTACTTCCGGAGCAATCCGAAATCACTTAGGGATTGCTTAGGATACGCACTTCTGTGCTCCCCCCACACTCCGGGCCGCTTAGTGAGCAAAAAGCGGCGCCAAGTTCGATCTAAAGCAGAAAGGGAAAGTCGCTCGATTTCCGCAGCAATCCAGTTCGTTAGTAATATATTATACAGTCTATACATTCGTTCATAACTCATCACCAAGCCCTGTGCGTCTAGTGCTCCTCATTGACCAACACGTAGCGGTACCTGGCCTTACCAGCATGCATGTTGACAATGGCTTCATTGGCATTCTTCATCGGGACCTCCTCGATCCAAGGCTTGACGCCCTTGTTCAGAACCAGCTGGAACATCTCGCGGATCTCATCAGGGCTACCGACCAACGAGCTAGTCATCTTCAGCCGACGGATGAGAGGCTTAACGGGCGCCACCAGGGTGCCATCCTCCGGCAAACCGACCTGGCACAGAGTACCATTGACCGCCAGCAGACCGACGTACTGTTCCATGGGCATCTGTACACGACGAGTATTAGTAAATTACCCTTTTCCCACACACATCCAAACCCGATAGGGAATAAAGATCTGGGAAAATACCTTCGTGGATGAAACAGTGGAGATGATCAAATCCAACGACTTGGCGTACTTGGTTGCCCAATCGGGCTCATCGTCCGTAGCGATGTACAGATCCGCGCCCATCTTCAAGGCATCGGCCGCCTTGCCCGCCTTGCGCGAGATCGCGACCACCTTGTCGGCGCCCATCGCCTTCGCGAACATGACACCGAAGTGGCCCAGGCCACCGACACCGATGATCCCGACGCGCTTACCGGGGCCACAGCCGTTGTGCTTCAGCGGGCTGTAGAGGGTGACACCGCCGCACAGCATGGGGGCGGCCTCGGCGGAGGGGATGCCGTCGGGGATCTTGATGGCGAATCGGGCGGGGACGCGGTTGTACAGCGCATAGCCGCCGTAGGACTTGCCGCCGTTGAGGTGGACGCTGTTGTAGGTGCCCACCCACTTGTGGGGGCAGTACTGCTCCCAGCCCATGGCGCACTCGGCGCAGTCGCCGAGACGGCCCTGGCAGGAATCGCTCTGCGCGCCGACACCGACGCGGTCCCCGAGCTTGATGTCGCTGACCTGGGAGCCGACGCGGACGACGACACCGACGATCTCATGGCCAACACAGCAGGGGTAGAGGGTTGGCTTCTGTTGTTTGGCGAATCAGTATATTTGGGACATGCTAGCTGAACAATCACAATTGACGCAGAAGAAGAAAAGGAACAACGATAGAAAGACCAGGGAAAGGACTTACCCATCCACTGTGCAGAGTGTGAAGATCGGAACCACAGATACCGCAATGAGAGACCTTGATGTCGACATCGGTCTCTTCCCACGGCTTGGGCTCAAACTCCTGCCAGACCATCTTGCCGTCGACCGAGTCCTTGTCGAGGCCCATCCATCCTTCGAACTTATAGTCAGTCATGATGAAAGTCTGGTGTCAATTCAGAGAACCGGTTCCTTAATGAGCGTGTACAAGGCCTCGAGGGAAGACGGAGGGGATATCCCCTTCAACTTATATGCGTTATCGCCCGAGAACAAAGCCATCGCCGGTCCCGTTTCCTTGATCGATCCACTTTTCGACACAAATTTCCGAGTTGGGGGAAGTTTTCCTGTGCAGGCAATTCAAACCCTGGGAAGATCCACCGGGACGGAAAAGCCAAGAAGGAGGCCGAGAAGAGAAGCATGGAGACCGAAAGAGAGCCAAATCCATGGGCTTTGCAAAGGCGATGGGGCAACCAAGAAGCTACTCATATCATTAGCTGGCTCCAGCGGAGTCTTTCCCTCCGGGTTGCTCGCCAAATGCTTAGAAATCTGCAGAAATAGTACCTGATACGGGTGAAAACGCGGTTTAAAGTCTGGGATGCTGCTTCGGATAGAAAGCCGATAGAAGATTCTCGGGATCGGAAGAGGATTTTCATTGAGGAGGTTTCATGGCACACTTTCGTGGTCTGGTTGGTGTTTGAATCACAATTGAGATACTCGTAGTATCGCCTGATGCTTTGATTCCGTACCCATCGCGGGATTCGACACGGTCTCTGACGCAAGGAAATCACTCAATGGCGTTCGAGGACTCCAACTGCTTTGTCTCCAAAATTGATTGATGCTTGCTCCATCGTTATTAGTCAGGGAGGACCACTGGATCCACTGCGGCAGCCCGAGAAGGCGGATCACTCTCTTATCGCCCGCCAACTGGTCTACCAACTGGTCTACCAACCACCAACCACATACAGACATCCAGCACATCCAGTACGACAATGGAAAGATCAGACACAACCAGAAAAGCAATGATAAGTGATAGTAACTTGCACTTGGAAGCTAGATTTGATATGATTCGATTTTTGGATATTCTAGATAGCAGCTCCATCAATTATTTCCCCCATACTGAGGCAGTTCATCCATGACCGTCTGCACATCCTTATCACCGCGACCACTCAAGCAGAGCACGATATCCTTCCCAGGTCCCAGCTCGCGAGCCACCTGCATCACCCCCCAGACAGCATGCGAGGACTCCAGCGCCGGGATGATCCCCTCGAGTTGACTGAGCAGCTGGAATCCCTCGAGCGCCTGCGCATCCGTGGCCGCAAAGAAGGTCGCGCGATTGCTATCCTTCCACGACGCCAGCTCCGGTCCGACGCCCGGGTAGTCGAGGCCAGCGGAGACGGAATGCGTGTCCGTGATCTGCCCATGGCGGTCCTGGAGGACATATGTGCGCACGCCATGCAGGACCCCGACGCTGCCGCCGCCGAGAGTCGCCGAGTGCTTCGCCTGACCATCGCCGCCGGCCTCCACGCCCACCAGCTGCACCGAGCCATCCTCGACGAACGGGTAGAACATGCCCACGGCATTTGATCCACCGCCCACACAGGCCACCACCGCGTCCGGCAATTTCCCGATCTCCTGTTGCAGCTGCGCCTTGGTCTCGGTCCCGATCACGGATTGGAAGGTCCGCACGATCGTCGGGAATGGATGCGGCCCAATGGCGGACCCGATGATATAATGCGTCGTGTCCAGCCGAGTGATCCAGGCCCGAAACGCCTCTTTACGGCGTCCCGGAGCGTGCGCGAGCCTGCCTCGACCGGCACCACGGTGGCGCCCAGCAGGCGCATGCGGAAGACATTCAACGCCTGCCGACGGACATCCTCCGCGCCCATGTAGACGGTGCATTTCATGCCGAACTTCGCGCAGACCGTCGCCGTGGCCACACCGTGTTGACCCGCCCCGGTCTCAGCGATGATCTCGGTTTTGCCCAGCCGCCGCGCGATCAGGATCTGGCCCAGGGCGTTGTTGATCTTGTGAGAACCCGTGTGGTTCAGATCCTCGCGCTTGAGCCAGATATTCGCGCCGCCCGCGGACTCGGTCAATCGCGTCGCGCGGTGCAGCGTCGACGGCCGACCCATGTAAGGGTAATAAGAGCGATACTCTTCCCAAAAGGCCGGATCATCCAGCGCAGCCTGGAAGCCGGCCTCCAGTTCGTTGAGACACGTCGTCAGCGCCTCCGGGACGTATTGTCCACCAAATTTGCCGAAGCGGCCACGTTCGGACGCCGAACCAACTTCATCTGCGGCTGGTGACTGTGTAGGCTCCTTCGCCTTCGAAGCAGGAACGGCGGCTGTAGATGAGGTAGAGGATGGCTCATCTGCTGCTGTGCGAGGGACTCGTCGCCCCGTGATCTGTGCGCAATACTCCTCAATCGTGCGAGCTCCCTGTCCAGCAGGGGCATTCGCCAGCTGATTGATGATCTCGCTACCAATTACGGCGCCATCAGCGACGGAGGTCACGCCCAGGAAATGCTCACGGGTGCTGATGCCAAAGCCGACGGCCACCGGGACACCGCCAGAGAGATCCTTAACCCGCTTCATCAAGTCGGGAAGCTGATTATTAAGAGTACCAGTGGCTCCAGTGACGCCCATTCGGGATACCAGATAGATCCATGTGTCGGCAATCCCGCAAAGCGTCTTCATACGGTCTTCAGTCGTGGACGGAGCAATCAAGGGAACATATGAAAGGCTATAAGATGACCACGACAGGCGTTAGCGGTACCGAACCCCATTGTCTAGCAACCGGAATGGTAATAGGCAGCTTACCCGGCATCCCGACATTGGTCGCGGAATCGAACAGCTTCCTCCGGCGGTAGATCTACAATAATGAAACCATTCACGCCGGCTTCTCTGCATTCTGCAAGCAGGGCGGTTTCGCCAAAGCGCAGAACCGGATTATAGTATCCCATGAAGAGGACGGGGATGCGCAGACCCTGCTGCCGTGCATCTTTGACCATTTGCAACATGGAAGTGATTGTAACCCCATTTTCGAGGGCTCTCAGGTTTGATTTTTGGATGGTAGGTCCATCGGCAATGGGGTCTGTGAATGGAAGGCCGAGTTCAATGACATCTGGGGTAAAAAAAAAGGATCAATACTCCGTCCCATCAATTGCTATACGTACTCATGGCAACTCACCTGCGCCTCCAGCTTGCATGGCCAGCATGATATCTGGAGTTTCCGCGGCTGTCGGAAAGCCGGCAGTGACATAGGTCACCAGGGCCGGACGGCCCTCTTTTTGGCATTGAGCAAAGGTTTTTTTAAGATGCTCCATCTTGCTATGCCTGGAATGTTTGCAGAATATGAAAAAAGCGTAACAAAGTCGGGAGGAGTGAGGGGAGAAGGGCGTAGACTGGGGGACTTATGGATCTTTCGCGGTGACTCACGCCTTCAGTAAGATGGCTGCACTAGTGGCATGTCTGGCGGATTAGTCCAATTTCAATCATCTGTGCATTCCAGCTTAAGAATTTACCAATCTACCCGGTCCTCCTGTCAGAAATAAACATCGTCGCAGTGTGAGCCTTTTCTTCCTGGGAATTGAAATATAATAATAAGGCTGGTTCTCAGATAATCGACAAGCCCACGGCTCGTTCGCCCCAGTGGACATCCCGAGATCGCCACCTCTCCTTACAAAAGCGAGACAGGCTATAGACCAAAACAGGCGTGTAATAGCCGGTTGGAAGAGTTGTAGGAGCTCAGAGGAAACGACCAGAGCAATTATGCTCAGAGCCTCAGGTGATAGGGATATGCAGATAAGTTGGGACATGAAGTCACAGACGAAACGAAGCAGAGGGAAAAAGTACAAACATAAAGAATAAGAATTTGGATCATTCAGCTTGGTCGCGCCAATATAGAAGGACGAGAGAATCTATGTGAAAATGCATGGATTGCGAATTATGTGTGCTTTTGTCAAGCGCTTGCCTCCTTGATCGATCTCCTTCCCTCCTAGCCCCGCCGCGATGTTCACCATCGAAAAGCCATAGCCCTGCTTTCTTAGAATAACGACATAATATCTTCGTTGGTTTTCTTTGGTTGACTGCCTCCAGGAGGCGGCGATGTCGTGCCATTGCCTGACAAATCCAGGCCGGCAAAACCGTTCATCAAATCGGCTCCAGGCCCCGCGCTGCTGCTGGCCGGGGCCGGTGCGCCCCCACCATCGCCGAAGACCCCCAAGAGATCGTCCAAATTGTTGCTTCCAGCAGGAGCACCTGCAGCAGGCGATTCCACTCGCACTGGCGTTCCGGCAAGACCTTCGAGACCAGACAATCCACCACTGGGCTCTTTTTGAGCTGAAGCCGGCGCAGTTCCATCGAAATCGATGTCCAGTAGATTCTCGACGTTGCTCTGACTCTGGGGAGGGGGCGCGCTGCCAGTGACCGCCGCTGCAGCCGCAGCAGCGGCTAGTGGGTTCTCGCGTGCATTTTGAATTTGTTCCCTGAAGCCAGTGGTTAGCCCAACGTAGACATAAATGACTGAAATGGGTTGAGACATACTCGATAGCGGCTCTCTGGACAGCGTCGGCGCCGAACCTTCCTTGACCGACAAACTGCTCTGGGGGCTTGTGGTAAACTGATGCAAGAGTCGACAGCTCAGTGAGCAGCTGCTCGAGAAGGGCAGGCGGTAGAGAATGAATAGTGGTCACAATTGGAGGCTTGTCAGACAGGACAATATCCTTAGTAGCTCCGGGATCACTGGTATTGGATAGTAAGCGCCAGTAGACATAGGCTCGGTCGCGCACATCGGGATTGTCGTTCTCAGCAGTGGCTGCCTGCAGCACTTTCTGGACGAGCCCTTGGGCCTTTTCAGGCCGCTTCAAGAAGAGCTTGACAACAGCCGTCAGGATTTGCAGCTGGGTCTAAACAGGTCACGGTGATCAGTATACAGCATTTGTGTTGTCATAAGGGAGTGCCATACCTGGGAGAATTCTTCATTGAAGCCTTCCACAAAGCCAGCGAGAATGTCACCCGCATTGCTGATCTTCTCCGCATACTGACCAACAATCCAGATGAGTGCCGCACGAGCATTTGGCTCATCTAGCTCATCAATACACTTGCACAGTGTAGGGATGATACCCTCATAGCCGGGGTACTTCCGGAAAATATCTTTGATCACCACAATAGCTTCTTGCACCACGTAGTTGACCTTGGTGTTGATGAGGTCCAACAACGTGTTGACGCACTTCTCACTAGCGCCCTCGATTTTGATCGCAACCTGACCAATCGCCCGGACGGCGCGGCGCACAAAGTCCATGTCCACCTCAAGTGCGTACTCCTTGAGCTCGGCTAAGAGCTGGTCAACGTTTCGGTCGTTGGCTATCCGTACCATGATCTCAAGTTTCTGGAACTTGACGTATGGTGGGTCGTTATACTTGCAGAAGAAGACGCGGAGTTCCTTGTTCAGGATGTCTGGCTGCTTTTGCAACAGAAGATCAATGTTTCTCAAAGCCACATACTGCACCTCGGGAGCAGACGAAACCAGAGTCACTTGACATCATCAGCAAACGGGAAGAATTCTACGCGGGCAAAGCATTCTTACCTAGGGGAGGGGCCATTTTCTTCAGGTAGTTGCTAGCCAGCTCAGCCTTGACGTTTCTCATGTGGAGGAAAACGACTTTGACGGCAGCTAATACAACACTCGGGTTGGCATGCTGGAACTGAGGAGCAACGCGCTCACAGATGTGCTCTGACTCAGTCACTTCACTCGTTTTGTACTCCGCAAGAGTCGTCAAGATCGTGACGCGACCCCATTCCGTACACTCATTCAGGGCCATGAGAAGCTTGCGCAGTGTGTTGGTGGTTACCTTCAAGGCCTGTGTCTCGGGAGCAGCGCGGTAGATCTCCGACAAAGCTGTCACCGAGTTGGCGACGACCATAGGATTGGGATCTCCAATCATCTCCTGCAGCATCTCCAGAAAGCCGTTCTCCAGGCACATAGCAGGATTCAGATCGAAAAGTTTGGCGACACAGATGGCCGCAGTCTTGCGGACATAAGGCGACTCGTCCCGGAGGGTCTTCCGCAGCGGTTCCTCCATGTAATCCACCATTTTGTCCACCCGAATGCACCCCATCGTTCGAATGGCAAGGGCTCTGATTAAAGGATTGGGATCTTCGGAGTCTTGAACAAAAGTGTTGACGGCGAGAATGCATAGATCGGGGTGAGACTTGGCGTAGTTCCTGTCGGGCGCGAAAGACAATCAGCGTCATGCTCGAATATCCAATCGGTGCTAGGAAGCCCACATGAGGTAAAGATAAACCAGCTTCTTTTGTTCAAGATCGCTAGTCGCAATGTTCTTGAGAACATCCGGGAATAGAGAGGAGACATCCTTGCCCAGCGTCATGGCCATGATGGTCTTCTGAATCGACTCCTTGCTAATGGTGTATTAGATTTATTGCGCCGACTAAATTATGCTGCCAATTATCCGCAAGAGGATTTGCGTGTGACATACCGTTCATATGCATACTGGGACCTGAAGGATAACGAGCGTCAGTATCGATTCATCGGCTTGGACAGGACAGATTGATAGCATACACAAGACCAGATCGCAATTCAAAAGTCTCTCCTTTCCTGGGGACCGCAAAGGCCCCCCGAATCCTACTCATCGCCATTGTGCCAAGAAATGTCTAGCGACGGCCTAGTCGCGCCTCCGCTGGTGGAAGTTGAAGTCGGAGGAGGGAATGCAGGAGACTGCGGGGAATTGCGAGAGCTTCAGGGTGAGCCGCAGACGGGAGAATTAGAGCGGGGAAGCGAGAGCTCTCACACACTCTTTCTCCTCCGTGCCGAAATGACAGGAGGGAACAGAAGTACAAGTAAAATATGTTCAGTGCAAAGAAGGAAACGAAGAGAATGAGAGTGGGAAGAATGGAGGGAGGAGAGAAGAAGTCAAGGAAGTGTGGCCGGCAGAACAAGACAGTTGATAATCAGGAGGGAGAGGGAGGGAGTGTCCCCATCATGGACCACAGCCAATCCGCACAACGCGGCGCCCGACTAAGCGCAACCACCACCTTAATTCCTTTCCCCGGCGGTCTGGACTGCCTCGTACTTCATACCCCGTACATACACTTTCTTATGATCCATAACAAAGGATTCCTCTTCCAAGTTCAGTCTGTTTGCTGCCATTCCATTGCAGCATACGAAACCTATGGTAGGTTACTATAATAACCACTACATACAAGACCGTCAATGCGCAATTATGACAACTTCGCTTACCTTTACCAAACCAGGCGAATCTCCCTAATCTCCGACGCCTGTTTGTCGAGGCCCGCACCGAGGCCGAGGAGAACGAGCACTCCAGAACTGCGGTATGCATCCCTCGAGCGCTCTCGATGCCAAGAAAAAGGATCGGAACTTCAGACTCATGAATATTTATACAGTTCTACAACCTTGTCCTCTTTATCTCTTCGGTCGCTGTCTTCAGCTTGGTGGCTCAACGAATGGGCGGGACGAAGTCAGGAAAATGAACAATGAACGCAAAGGAAATGCCAGTGGTATCTCATACAGCTCATACTCTTAAACAACTTGGTAATCCAGGGCCTGCCCCGGAAAAACTTGCTTGCACAAGCTAGCAATATCCATGCAACACCATCAGTCTGTCTCCTCACCATCCTCACCTTCCAAGAAGGCCAGGCCTCGACGTCCCCGGTTCAATCTCCGTCTAGGCCGACTGTCCTCACTATCGTCGCTCCCTGCCTCCTTCCCCCATCGCTTTGCCCCTTCTTGCACAAGCTCGAGGTCGGCTTTGAGCTCACGCTCCTCACGGATGCGGTTCGCTTTCTCCACCGAGTAACGCCCTTCCATGCCGGCCTCCTTCAACATATCCTTGAGGTGTTTGATCTTGGCTTTGGGAGTGTCGAAAGGAGCCAGCTCCCTCGCCCACATCTTGCGGATCCCGCATTTTATCAGCCAGCCCTGCAGCCGTTTGATCTCCGCTTGATTGGGATCCTGGTCCGTATCTTTGTCCTTGACCGGCGCCGCTTTCTTTCCTCTTCGTGAGGATGTCTCGGCGCTCTTCTGTCGCTTGCGAACGGGTTTCGGCTCCTCATCAAGAACTACCGACATCTCACTTTCGGAATCGACTTTATCTTCTGACTGATCTTCTTTCCCATTGGCGGCGTCAGCAGAGTCATCGGGGGCGGGCTCTTCGCTAGGCTTGGTCTTTTTCTTGGTGGCGGTCTTTGTTTGCCTTTTCGTGGAAGGCTCTACTTCGTCTTCATGATCCTCATTCTCAATATTTGAACTTTCATCTTTATCTGCGTCCGAAGGGCTGGTTTTCTGGCGTTTGCGCGATGCGGCGGTGCCAGTCGATTTCGTTCTCTTGGCGGGCTTCGCGTCTTCTGAGGACAGTGAGGACAGTGAGGACAGTTCACTTTCAGAGTCGCTATCGTTCTTTCCTGGAGCCGATTGTTCGGCGGCTTTCTCTTCGACCTCCTATGTAGAAATTGAGACATTAGAGCGCAATTGTAAACACAACAAACAGAAGGAAGTGCAATAGCGTCATAATATGAGAGACACGGAGAGACCAACGACTTGATCGCGAATGACCTCTTCACTTCTAGCTTTCCAGTCGCCTTGGGTCTTGAAGAATCCCGCGTCGAGCTTGAGCGCCTTTTCTGCCGCGAGGCGCACCCGCTTGACGGTCAGTTCCTCTAACTTGCCCGATTTGTAGATATCGGCGACGGTGTCGCGTAAAGCTTGTTCCAGCGCGTCATCGGACGGAATGTCTGGACGGCCGGCTGTTGAGTCGGGTTCGGACTCAGACTCCGACAGCGCGTATTTTGGGGCCATCTTTGCGCTTTGTCTGTCTCGACTTTACCCCGAGTTAAATCCCCGACGTCGGGTGTGTGTAGATGTCCGCTGCGTGTGGGGGGGGGATGAAACGGCGGGAAGTGGCCGCGCGCCAGGCGGACGCGATGAGAGAGGCAGAATACAACCGCCGTAAGTAGATCAGGAAGCGTGAAGATCGACAATTGTGTCAGGGCTATAATAAAAACAAGCTTAATGGAAGGTCGATTGAACAATGTCAAGGAGAGACACTTGATCCAGCTTGCATCTAGAACCCCTGCCTCACGGAGCTTGCTCGGTTCGCTTCGGTCGGAGAGTTAGTTTCCCAATTGCACCGCGCGACCGCTGACAAAGCCGCTTATCGGGGACTGGCGGTCTTCGATAAAGTCGGAGATCGGGGGCACTTTTACTATTATTACCAATCAGCGAGATTCTCTCGCCGGATCTTCAACTATACCTTAACTTTCTTTTCTTTTCTGTGTAGACTCTGATTCTTTAGATTTTGGTTCTTGCACACTCTTATTTCTGATTGAGTGCGTATCTTCTGTATCATAGCATCTTCTTTTGACAGTTCCTACTCCTTCTCACCTCAGCGACATCATGTCCGAAATCTACCCCGACGCAACAGAGACAGCAGCGCAATCAACGCCGCAGAAGAAGCTCTTCACGCATCAGTTCCAATTCCCCGCAGCCACAGCAGCCACAGCCAGCTCCTCCTCGTCGGCATCGTCATCTCAACCAAAGGATACCAGCAACAAGGACGAACACGTACCCCCGGGGTACACCAAGCTCCCGAATGGAGTCATCCTCGACAAAGAAGGCAAACCGTAAGTCCAGTCCAGCGCAGCGCATCCAACAATCAGAAGCACTCCCCAAACCCTCAAGCTATACATACAACTCCCAACCCTTCCCAATCCAGATAGATCTCCCCAACCCAAATACACAAATACTAACCCCCCAAAAAAAGATGCCGCCTCTGCACCTCCGCCGCCTCCTGGCGCGCCCTAACCCAAAAAGCCAAAGCCACTGCCACACCCACACCATCCACCTCCTCCACCACCACCACCACCACTCCCTCAAACCCCACCGCCCAAAAATACGGTCAATGCCCCCCAGACGTCGAAGAACTAGGCCGCTCTACCTGGACCTTCCTGCACTCGCTGACGGCCTCGTACCCGGCGCAGGCCTCGCCGGAACAGCAGACGGAGATGCGCACGTTCCTGGGCATCTTCTCGCGGCTGTACCCGTGCTGGGTGTGCGCGGACGATTTCCGTACCTGGATGGCCGAGCCCAGCGGGCAGAACGCGCCGCGGCTGGCGGGGCGGAAGGAGTTCGGGGACTGGATGTGCCGGGCGCACAACGAGGTGAATCGGAAGCTGGGCAAAGATGAGTTCGATTGTCGGTTCTGGGAGGAGAGGTGGCGCACGGGGTGGAAGGATGGGCGGTGTGATTGATTACTGAATAAACCTTGGGGGAGAGGGGAAGGGGCGCGGGCTTGTTGAGGTGTTCTTTACTTCGTAGTTGCTTGTTGGGATTACGGAAGTCAGGGTAAGGATATGTAAATCATGGGACATATGCACAGCGCTGTAAGTGCTGGGGCTGTTTTTGTATACTATTTTTTCTTCTTTGCATAGCATGGGGAGGTCTCAGTTCTCTACTCTTGTCTTCTTAAGTGGAGTTGGGAGGATTTAATTGATTATCATCTCGCCTCGTCCTTATCTTTCTTTTTTCTTTTTTACACCACGGTAGGGAACTATGGAACGTTCCCTAGAAACCAATGAATAAGTATGAAGAAGATTTGAGTCCTAACGTCGCTGAGAAATTATGATAACAGAAGAGGTTCCATCCATACATCGAGGGCAAGCAACCGAGTTGGTCCCACCTCCGGCCGTACCAGTAGAAAAAGAAACATGTTTTCTATCAGAGCTGCACATCAAGAGACGGGGAATTACAGTATAAATAAAAACAAGGCTCGTCATCGTCATCCTCAATACTGGCCGGGAACAAACAACCGGAGTCCGCTGGCCGGGGCCCCGATCTCCGTCACCTCCGAAATCCGACACACCGTGCCCTTGTATTGTTCGTGGTACTTGGCTCCGGTGAATGGGTCCGACACACTCGGGGACCCACCGTAAATAGGCGTGTACGAAGCAGCACAAATGTCGAATTCGGCGAACTGGTCGAACTCAATGTCGATCTTGTCTTGCGCGCTGCGCTCGCTCTGCAACTTGATCTTACGGGCCTATTAAGGGAGTCAGTATGCCTGCCTGGATCTGGATAGAAAGTTGGGACATTCTTACCTGCTCAAGAAGCTTGGGCGAGCCACCGTTAGCCAGCATGCGGTTCGCGAAGCTGAGGGCGGAAGAGTAGTTCTTGTTGGCGAAGGCAAACTTCATAGCAGCCATCAGTGCCAACTGACGGTGGGCCACTTCCAGCTTGGGGATGGTGAAGTAGGCCGAGAGCTCAAGACTTCTCTTGAGACCCTCGGGCGTATCGGTAGTGAGAGAACGACGCTCCAACTCGATCGACATGGCCAGGATGTACTCCCGCGCGGTAACGATGATCTTCTTCGCTTGCTCAACTTCAGCCTCCGAAGAGACGGTGTTCAGCAGGATTGAATGCAGGATACCCTTGAAGATCTTGACACCATCTTCAAGCTTGTTAGCCCTCATCGCGGCGTAACCCTCTTGCAAGTCGACGTTGGCAATTGTCTCCAGATCTCTGGGGATGACAGGCAGAACTTTGCGGCTGTCCGTCTCTTCAACGGTGCGGCGTACGTAATTCACTAACGGGGGAAGACCGGCACTTGCGGGCAGATAGGTCTTGGAGCCCTTGTAGATTTCCAAGAAGCGGGGCTTCAAGGGGGCGAAGTTGACGGCACCAACTTGACGATTGAGAAGTTGCATGGCCGTCTCGAAGGAGCCGGCGGCGACATGATCCGCTGCAAGAGGGGAGTTGCGAGCCCAAAGATCGGCTTCCGTGCCACCAGCACCAGCCTCTGCACCTTCGACATCGACGAACTCGGCATCCTCTTCGACATTAATCTCGTCTCCCATATCCCATCCGGCGACATCCTCCTCTTCGTCCTCGAAGGTATCACGCGCGGCAGCAACCTCACCTTCTTCCTCGGGTTCAAACTCGATGGCAGCGACCTCATCATCGACCTCACCCACCTCTCCAAGCAGAGCCTTTTCGAATGATGAATGAGCAGCAGCCTTGACGGGCCAATTAGCCTTGAAGGTGGGAACAATGGGTTGAGGCACGCGCAGGGGCTCCTCGATCGTGGAAAGAGTGATCTGGTCCTCCGTGAGGCCACAGGCCTCGAGGATTGACTCGGCCTCCTCTGTCAGCCCGTGGGACTTGGCAGTAAGGTACGCGAGCGGATCTGTACTAGATTAGAAACCAACCCCGACTTAGAAATGGAACAGGACTTACAAAGATCGACTTCCTTGAACATCTGAATTCTGTCCTCGACGTCACCACGGTAGATTGCGTTCTGGAAACGCGACGTGAAGTCGCCTCGGTGCTCCGCAATCTTAGCCATGCGGGACAGCTTCTCCTGGTCGCCAGTCGACAGGTACAAGAAAGACAGCTTGTCAAAGTTCCTCTGCTTTTGGTAGGCCATCTCAACTGTCTGATGGTTACCGTGAGCCAGAGCTTCGGCCCCAAGTCTGGTCCACAGATTGGGGCGGTCCAACTCGCGAGCCATCTCAATAGCTACATCCAGGTTGCCGCACTCAAGGGCAAGCTCGAAACGGGTCTGGGGATCCTGCACAAATTGCAGCGCGATCTCGGGGTAGCCCTTCTTCTGCAAGTAGGAAATGATGCTTTGACCGACCAGGCTCGAAGTCTTAATGATCTGCAACATCTCATCGTAGTTCCTCTTCACCAGTGCAAGCTTGAATCTGTACTCAGTAGGGTCAATCTCCAAGACGCGGGGCTTAGCGCTACGGTCCAAGCAGTAGACGCTTCTGCCCTTGACCTTAACAAGGTAGACAGTCTGGTCGAGAGTGCGAATGATGCCGTTGTCACTGGTTCATGTTAGCTATAAACCGTATTATCTTCAGGAACTTCGAAATAGCATACCCGTTCAGGAGAGAATATTTGACATGGTTCAAGGTAGAGTAGAGAAGGACGCCAGCGTCATCCCAGGCTGCGCTCTTGATACGGATCGTCTCGTGCAAACTGCTCACCTGCTCCAAGGTCTTGGTCACAATAGTGACGTTATGCTTGCTGAGCAAAGCGGCATAGAGCCCGTCGTTGGACCAGACAACATACTTAACGCCGCTCACAGCGAGCTCCGCCAATTGCTTCTTCTGCTGAATGTCGAAGAGAACGACCGAAGTAGGAGTGATGAAGAGGAGACAGCCAGTTCCACCGAAGTAAATGTCTGTGGTTCCGACTGGAGGCTTGATCGATTTTGTAGTCGCATTGCTGAGATCCTTGATGTCTACCTGTTGGTTGCCTTGGCTAAAGACGGCGAAGCGGTTGCGCGCAACGAAGACAGCAGACGTGCCCTGACCACGCTTAACATCGGTAGGCTCCACAGCACCGGTAGCATCCCTGGGGAGGTGAATCAATTCGTACACGCCACCATCAGTCGGGGACGTGACCAGGATGGCACGCTCGGCAGGGTTGTATGAGAGGGTACGAGGAGGCACCCAAGGGGATCCCAATTTGCGCAGTGAGAGCATAGGAGGAGACTCCACGTTCTTGCCGAAGTCATAGGACTTGACATGCTTCTCTTTGGTGATATAGAAGAGCTGGTTCTGGTAGACCGCTGAGGCAGGTCGCTCTCTCTCCAACTTGAAAACCATCACACCGGTATCATGGCCGGCAGCAAATAGGTTGATCTCGGGATGGGCAGCAATGACCCAGAAACGGTCCAGGTCGCGCTTGAACGATTGGACGGACGTTCTCTTGTTCAGATCCCAACATCTGATGGTCTTATCTTCGCCGACTGAGAGGATCAGGTCCTGGTGCGGATGGAACAAACAGGCAGAAGCGTTCTGGAAATGCCCACGGCAGGTGTCAACTTCCCAAGCTTTCGTGTCTACAGAACTCATGTCAGCTATTACCACCATCGGAACCCAATATTGTCATGTCCCACGTACCACTCATTCTCCAGAGCTTGATGAGACGGTCGTCACCGGCGGAGACGATCAAAGGAAGAGTAGGGTGGAAGGAGACCCAGTTGACTCCTCGATCGTGGCCCTCTAGGACGAACTTCACCACGGCGTCTGTGTTTCCGAACATATCTGCTTGACCGGGGTTGGCTCGGGCCATCTGATCTTCGAAGGAGATAGTTGTCGGGGCCGAGTGCTTCTTGCGCAAGCCGGAAATGTCCCAAATGCGAACCGACTGATCCAACGAGGCGGAGGCGATCAAATCCTCGGTAGGGTGGAACTGCGCGCACATAACGTAGTGGTTGTGGCCGGTCATAGTACAAACTACAGGCTAAATGTTAGCCTCCCTCCGGACAGGTGGTCAGAGTCCAACATACTTAGGGACCGATTCTGCCAGTTCCAGATTCTAATGGTTTGATCGTCCGAGGCGGAGAGAATCCAGGGCAATTCATGATGGAAGAAAACCGTCCGCACGTAGTCCAAGTGGCCGTTCAGGGTGAACATGCACCGGCGAGTCTGGTAGTTCCAGACCTTGATCTTGTAGTCATCACCTCCGGAGACAAACATTGGCTGTGTCGGGTGGAAGTCAATGCCACGAACGGGACCATCGTGTTCTTCAAAGCGATCAATCAGGGTTCCCATGCGGTAATCCCATAATTGAATGGTGGAGGAGTGAAGGGAGACTAGAATCCATGGCCTGTGCCGGGGGTCAGCGTTTGCGACGCGTTGGACAAACGACAGATGACGACGAACCGCTTAGGGTGGAAGGCAATTCCCTTGGCGCGAGAGGATTTGGACTCAAACTAAAGCATTGAAGGTTTTGTCAGTTCCAGGTCTTTGAGTAGACAGAGACCAGCTCCGTTGCGATAAGGGGGGAAATGAGGGGACAATGGGGACATGGAGGGGACGGCGGACCTTAGTGAGCATGTTTGGGGAGGACTGCATCTTGAAGGAGGGTTGGCCGGAGCCGCACCATAGAGAAGCAAGCTCCGCACACGAGAAGTAAAGGGAAGATCAAAAGAATGACCACCACATCCACTACTTCGGGAGGAAGAGGAGGAGTGTAGTTGTGAGGGGGGTTAGTTGAATAGCAATGGGAGGAGTGTCTGGACTCTGGACTCCAGCCGTGGTCCGTCTCGATGGATGGATGGATGGCGGTAAACGTGGACTTATTGTGTCGGCAGCCAATAAGCGAGTCCCAAGGGCCAATGATGGGCCCCGGGCGGTGAGCAGCTGCCAGGGGAAATGAATCAATCGCCTTCAACTAACAACTAACTGAGCCTGAGCTAACATGCTCATGCTCATGCTCATGCGCATGCTTGCACTTCGCCTGACACTAACTAAGTATTGCTTTTTCCTCCTCTTATCGATTCTGGATGAGAAGTGAGCTTCAACAGAATGTGATATCATGGTCTTGTTGCTTTCATGCCGTTGTCGGAGCGGTGGGACCCCCATAATGCAACCCAACATAACGTCTTCCCCAGCCAGCCCCATTACGCTTCTCTCCGACTGGGTCTGTTTGGAGCTCTGTCTGCCCTATTCTTCTTGCAACGGTTTTCGATTTTTTTGCCCCCATTTTCAGATCAACAGATGAAAACACTGCAAGTATAACGGCGATATTGTATACATAATGTCTTTTCATGCGCATGCCGATTTTCAAAACGCTTTCTAAAGCAGCATTTACGCTCTATGAAGACAGCACTTTTTATACTTGACAATTTTTGGTGACACCGGCTAGAACACCATGATTAAAGCTGAGGATGGCACAGTCCCTCCTCCCTCTCCGCTACGGGATGACCCAACATGCTTCACTCAAGATCTTCCCGGTCCCGCTTCGGCCTCCTGGCAACCTGCTGCGCACGAGTCTCCCTCAGTCAACACCCATATCAAAGATGAAACGAATGTGATATTGCCATATGCGATCGAAGAACCCGAGGATGAGCCTGCCGACACCTGGGAGGAGGCAGGTGCGAGACCGAGGTCGGCGTTACTTCTCCGGGATATTTCAGACACCAAGCAAGATGATTTGGCGGTCTCGATGGAGGGCCTTTATTGCGATTCGGACCCTACAAGCCGCCGCTCAAGCTTCGCCGCTAAACGAGGCATGAAGCGGAAGCCGTCCAGTGCACCTACCGCCCCGACCCGTCCAGCTCGATCACATTCAACCAGCAACTCTTCCAATACTCAAGAGGGAGGATCCAACGGTCGTCCCAAAAAGCAACGTAGGCGAAGCCAGCGTTCAAGGAACCAGATGGGGTTATTCTCCGATGTCTTATGGCACGGGGAGGCCAGTGAAACCGGGTCATCGGGCAGTTACGACTCTCGATCTTCTTCCGCAGATCCTAGTAGTTCCTACCCTTATGCGTCCACCACGCCAGATCAAATGGACATCGACTGAGTGAGCGTTACATGAGCACCTGCCAGGTGGGCTCCCTCCGCCGAGCTTCATAGCTTATTGCTGGCTCTGCGACTCGCAACATGTGACACGTGACGTAGTGAGCACGCTAGGCCGGAAAAGGCTGGATTATTCAATGACGTCACCAACTTCTCATCGCCGTCACTTATACTGCTCTCTTTGTCGGCTTACGGCTAACAGATCACCTCCTACCATTATCCTGTCGTTATCATCACCCATCGATTCACACCAATTCCCTTCCTCAATTGGCCTACGAACTTGCTTGACAAGCCCCAGCGCGCATAGTAAATATGGCTACCCGAACATCGACTCGCCAGGCCGCCCAGAAGGCAAAGGAAGCCATTGCGGCGGCTCCTGATGTTAAAAGCCGAGGCACTACTGGCGCAAAGCGAAAGGGCAGTGCTGACAAGGGAGTGGAGTCTAAGCGTAGCAAAAAAGAGGCCGACAAAGAGCCGGACGAAGCCAAGCAGCCCACGACCGGAATTGATGCGCAACCACCTAAAGGTAGAGTAAGCTCGCATTACCACCGCGTATGTTGTCTGACTCTATGTAGGTCGTTCTGAGCAGGCCGAAAAGCCAAGAGCGAAGCCCGAAGAGCCGAGCGATAAGCCTGCAGCTAAGCCAGAGGGAGAGCTGAAGGGAGAACCAGAGAAACCTGGCGAGAAGCCCGAGGACAAGCCCGAGGACAAGCCAGAGACCGAGTCAGAAACAAAGGCAGAAGAAAAAGCAGAAGAACAGTCAGAGGCGACACCTGAGACTGAGCAGCCAGACACTGCGAAAGAAGACAAGGCCGACGACAAGCCTGAAGATAAAATGGAGCTGGATGACGAGAACAAACCCGAAGACATGCAAGCAGAAACGAAGGAACCCAATTTAGCTCCCGCCAAGAGCAACGAAGCTGGCGTCGAAACCTCACAGGAGAGGGAGGAAAAGGTTCCGTCAAACATCCTTGAAAAGGGTATCATTTACTTCTTCTACCGGTCCCGAGTCAATGTGACTGATCCTCAGGGTGTCGATGATGTTGCGCGCACTTTTGTGGTGCTGCGACCAACTCCCTTGGGAGCTACCTTGAACGCAAAGCAGGGCCCGGTTGACACTGGTGCTAAATGTCGCGTGATGGCTCTTCCAAAGAAAAGATTCCCGACCTCTGGTCGTGATCGAGTTATGGGATTCGTCGAAAAGGCTGGGCAATCCATGAAAGCACTGCAGGAAAGCTTCATTGCTGGAGGGCAATATGACACAGCCACCCAAGGCGAGCGTACCGTTCCTGATGCCCGTCCGTATGCAGAAGGCGTCTACGCAATTACATCTACCAAACGAACCTCTCATCTGGCTTACGTTCTCACAATTCCTGATCAGATTGGATCACTTCAGGAAGACTTTGGCCTCCGGGCACGGGGCAGCTGGGTTGTGCAGTCGAAGAACCCAAAACACCCTGGGCCATCGTACGCTCAACTTCCTAAAGATCCCGAGTATCCCGACAGGTATTACCCCCGCCCCAATTATGGCTTTCCTTGCCCTGGTCAACGTGCATTTGCTGACTGGTGATGACAGTGTGCTTGCTAAATTCGGCGACTACCGCTGGAGGCCGCTGGAGCCTGAATTCATCGATTATCCCAACGCACAGTTCCTTGTGGTTGGGGAAGCTGTGGACGAGCTTGGAAAGGCCGCAACTGCAGAGGAGGATGGCAAGAAAGCTGATGAGGTGCAGCCTGGAGAAGAGCTCGAGCACCTAGGCCAGGAAAACGAGGAGCGGGTGGAATCTCTGCGGGGTGAGTGCTCCGTTAGGATCTTTCAGACTGCCTGATTCGAGGCATGCAGCTAACATCAAACAGGAGATGATACAATCTATGAGGATCTTGGTCTCGATGCGAAGAACTACCCTGCCGTTCCGACAACTTGGGAGAGTCAGTAATGAGCTTGGGTAGCTGCGATGACAAAAAGTTATCTTGTAGGACATGGCAGGCCAACAACGACGCGGCATGATAGAAGATGATGACGATGACGATGATGAGATGAAGTCAGGGTGAAGATCACCGCTGTAGTCAACTAAAAAATAATGCAAATGCAATGCAATTACTTGTTTCCTCGGCTATGGCCTACTCGGTCGTGGTCCTTCACAGGTTTATAACGAATTGCAGGCGTGGATGCGCCCACGTTGTCTTCCTTCTGTTGGATCCTTCCTTGATCCTTGCTAGTTTACTAGTAGTAGTTCTCCGGTCCTCGGAGCCATTTCTATCCGCCATCTAAAGTGCTTTATGGATAGGAATAAGTCCTGTTACTTCCCCGGCTCTTTTCTAGGCCTCCAATTGACTTCATTTTCCTCATTACACCTACAATTTGAAAACTACCCCCCATGCGACGCGACTCCTCGTGGTTATACACTCTCCCAGTTCTATACTGGACTGCTGCTGCTGCCAACAATGACGTTGTGAACCGGACCAGCTGCGGCAGTCATACTTACACCTACTCCGGCCTGGCTGGCTATGGCTACATTCCTTCCAACGCCACAGACAAGTATGGCGACACTTTAGGTGGCTTTGGCAGCTCGGCCGCCTTTGACTTGGAGTCCTGGCGGCGCATAGGGCCTGAAACTTATACCGGACTGCTTTACTGCATCCCCGATCGTGGCTGGTATGAATGCCTCCTGGATTGCTGTATTTCTCTCTCCTGGCCTCGTGTGCTGAGAATAAATGCAGGAATACGAACGGCACTCTCAACTACCAAGCCCGCGTCCATACACTCAACGTCACCCTCCATTTACCCAGCAACAACAACTCCGCCAATCGTCCATCCAGACCCAACTTGCAGCTGACTTACCTCGACTCCCTCCTGCTAACCGATCCCACCGGCCAACCACTAACCGGCCTCGACGCCTCGGCCGATTTCCAACGACACCCTCAATTATCCAGGATTCCCACCTCTGCCAGCCGCGATCTACACCGGCAATGGCTTCGACGACGACCCCACCAGTGGCCACGGCGGTCACCGCGTCTCCCTGGACGCCGAAGGCCTCGTCCTCACCCCGGACAGCTTCTGGGTCTCCGACGAATACGGGCCCTACGTCTACCGGTTCGACCGCCAGACCGGCCGAATGAAGACAGCCATCGAGCCCCCACCAGCCTACATCCCGCACCGCAACCAGTCCATCAGCTTCAGCGCCGACAGTCCCCCCATCTACGACCCGAACGACACCCCCATCCCCGAAGACCCTGTGACTGGCCGCGCGAACAACCAAGGCTTCGAGGCCTTGACCATCTCCCCGGACGGGAAGACCCTCTACACGATGATCCAATCCGCTCTGGACCAGGAAGGCGGCACCAGTAAGAAGTACCGTCGTCCCGCGCGTCTCCTGCAGTACGACATCTCCTCGGAGATCCCGGTCCAAGAGCACGAGTATGTGGTCATGTTACCCACGTACTACGATTACACCAAGGGCCACGACGTGGTGGCCGCGCAGTCTGAGATACATCTGCTTCCGGCCTCCGCCGCCGCGGGGGATCCAGACGACAAGGCATTCTTGGTCCTGGCGCGCGACTCCGGGTTCGGTCACGGCCAGGACGAGTCGTTGTCTGTGTATCGGCATGCGGACGTCGTGCGCATCACGAGCAACACCACCGATCTGAAACGGTGGCGGGGAGCGGATGTGGTCAATGGGTCCATCGCCTCGGCCAAGGGGGTCTTGGACACCGGGATCACCCCGGCGGAGTACTGTTCCTTCTTAGACTACAATGTCGAGAGCCAGCTGGCCAAGTTTGGGTTGCATAACGGTGGCCCGCAGGACCGTTTCCTGTTGAACGAAAATTGGGAGAGCTTGGCGCTGGTGCCCGTGGAGCCGGGGCAGAAGGCGTCCGCCCGCGAGAGGGAGTACTTTCTGTTTAGTTTGAGTGACAATGACTTTATTACACAGAATGGTAAAGCCCCCAGAAAACTGGACGAGTCGATGGCTAATGAGTTGAACCAGGTCGCATGAACTTCGGTCGGTTCAGGTATGCGGATGAGTCGGGATATAACCTCGACAATCAGGCACTGGTCTTCCGGGTGAAGATATCATCGTAAGACATGTACTCGTCCTGTATGGTTGATCATATCTTCTTCTTGTCTTGCATATCAGTGGCCTGTATGTCTAACATCATGCAGTGAGTTTTTTCTTGGAGGATGATCCTTTGGTTCTCAAGGCCAGGTGATTGTATCTAGAAGGTCATATCTAGAAAAAAGACCACAGCTTCATACTAATTTTTTTCTTCATCTTCTGCATTCAAAGGACTTATATGTGGGCTCTGTCTCGTGGTCCTTATATTTTCCTTCGAACAAGTTCCTCATCCAAGAAAATATACACAGTAGAAAATGTCATCGACTTCCCGTCCTGCCTGCATCTACCCGACGTCACCCTCAGCCTAAGTATATATCAGAGCAAACCGGAACAACTACTTGCCAAACTAAACACCTACGCCTCGACCTCAACACAATAAAACCCCCAATTATACCCCATTCAATATTGACCACATGTCACACAAAACACCCATCCTCAAACACTCTCCCCCCCCGTTCCCCTCCACTGCACAGAGCACAGAGTACAGTAGCAAACAAAGAACCCACCTCTCCCACCCAAGATGTATACATCAAAAGCCCACGCGTCAACCCACCACCAAACCAACAAACACATCCCAGAAACACATAGATGAATCGAAAGTAATTGCGTCATGCCCTTCTCTCTCCCCCCACAGTCCCACTTTAAATCCCATCTATTACTGTAGTAGACTCCAACCCCCGCATCTCCTCTCAATCCTCACAACAACCATCCCCGGCTCTCGAACCAAAACACCACCACCCAAACCACCCCGCGCGTCCTTCCGGGCCTAGAGTTCCGCAGCCCCAACCCCAACCACAGCCACGGTTACGCTCATCCAACCAGAAGGACTTTAGGTGAGCTAAGTTTTGAACCCATGGCTTGGGATTTATCGGTCGATGATCTTTCGGATGAGTCGAGCTTTTATGGTGGGTATTGCCTTATACCTAGTATTTCATTTACTTCCTTTTTAATGCCTTTCGCCGTTGATGGGTGGACAATACTGATATTGGAGATAGGCGATGACGACCACGACGCCGAGGAGGTCAAGCGGTTAGAACATCTAGTTACGAGTTACGATATCGGCTATTACTGGAACAGGATCCATCCATACTCTTTGAACACTATTCGCCGGAAAGCGTTGAGCGCGAGGCGGAAGGCAAACGAAGAAACACAAGCAAGGAGCGAGAAAGCAGCCGAGATGAACTGGGGTACTAGTATTAAGGCGGAAGACGGGGACGATGGCGCCGCGCCGCCTCGGTGTTACAGCTCCCCACAACCAAACGCTCTAAATCGTACAACCGAAACGAAGAATGAAGAGGCGGACGGCGACACGGTTATGACGGATGTCTCTGCCTCCTCGAAGCGCAACCGCGTGAAATGCACAGCCTCGAGCGTAGCAGCTACGGGGCTGACGCCATCCAGTACCCCCGCTGATGCGGTGGGGCCGTGGATCTATGTCGCAGCACCTCAGCAGCCCAAAAGACCGCAGCAGGCGGATATCGCGAGACTCGTGGCGGACGGGACGCGGGCACTGCATCGGTTCGAGAATGACAGGGCCGCGTTGCAGGTGCAGCGGGACAGGGCCCCGGCGGGTTCGAAGCAGGCGGCAACGCGGGCGTTGCACCGTCGGCGGCAGGAGCTGGAGAACGAGCTGTTCGTGCTCGCGAGGCAGACGGGCGTCGTGTCCGGGAAGTGGATGCTGTTTATCACGGCGGATCGGGTCGATGAGTATTGGACAGTGGTGGCCGAGGCGACCGTGCGCGGAGAGCTGGGATTCGGAGCCAAGGTAGCAACGGATGATGGACAGGCGAGGGCGCGACTGATCGCAATCTATACCCACGATCATGAGGACTGCGAGGACGTGGCTCGGGTGCTGCGGAGAATGGTAGAGTTGGAGCTTGTCAAGGCCAATGAGAAGCCCATATACTATAAGTGTGATGCGTTCACCCATCTGGAGATCATGGGGAACAATCCGTGGGGATTGAAGGCGAGTCGGTTCTCGAGTCGAGACGTGTTGCGGGATGAGTTGTGAGCTGCTGGATGTTTGGATTGTTGATCCAGGAATGTGTACATATCGACCATTTTAGCGTATTCGCCATGCTTTGAGGCTTGAGACGGACTTATCAGGCTCAACATGCCGATCCCGTAGCTTTGCATGAGCACCGATTGACGATGGGGATAGACAAGTCAGCGACCGACCTGAGGCCACCCTTATCATCATTGCCATACCAGGCAAGCCTGGAGGGTAACGTGCTGTTCCAACCCCAACAAGCCCCATGCCATGATCAAGCACAGCGAAATTGATCAATGCTTGTTTGGTCCCCCCACTATAAACTATCACGGCGCCTCACCTCAAGACGACTCGTCCCCTCGATCCATCACCTTCTCACAAGCCTCCCGGACCTCCGCAACCCCCTTGACCCCCTCCCACTTCAGCAGCAACTTCCTCACCTCCTCCCAATCCTTCTCCGCCTCCTCCGCCTTCCCCTCAGCCACCAGCTTCTCCAACCTCTCCGGCGCGGCCAGCACCCACTGCACCGTCAGCCTCTCCGCCTTCCTTCGCTCCGCCCCCACCGTCGCCGCCTTCGCCTCCCGGATCCGGCGCTGCTGCTCCTCGCCCTCCTGAATTAGACCGCCGGCCGTCTCCGCGACGAACGCAATCGCCGGCCCCAGGGTCTTGGTCATGGTCAACGGCGCCCCGCGCTCATCCATACTGCGCCGCATCTTGCCGATCGTCTCGACCGCGCGGATCAGCTTGGAGTAATTGTCGTACACCAGCGCCTTGCGCTCGCTGTCCAGCGTGCGGATGTCCCCGACCAGCGTGTTCTCGGCCTTCAGCACCGTGGACAGCGACGAGGTGGCCAGGAGGTGGTTGACGTAGCGCTGGGGGTCGAAGTCCGGGCTGTCGAGTTCCGTCCCCGTGGCCACGACGGATGATGATGGGTGGTTGTTCTCATTGACGGAAGGGTCCTCGCTCGGACGAGGGATGCTGCGAGATCGGCGTCCGGCGCCGCCAGTGCCGGCAGCATCGCTCGGCCGGAGGTTGTAGTAGTCGCGGAGGGCGGCGCGGTTGCGGCGCGGGTGGAGGGACGGGGAGACTGCTCGCGCGGTGGAGGGGGTCGAGGAGGCGCTGAGCCCTCCTCCGCCGTTGTAGCCGAGATTGGTGTTCAATGTGTCCAGAGAGGGGCGATGGGAGGAGGTCGGGGTGGGAGAGTGGGCGCGCGATGAAGCAATTGACGGACGGGGGGAGGAGAGTGTCGACATTGCGGTGGTTGTGGTGTGAAAGGGAGGTGGGCTGGATTGTTTGGTGCTACCTATGCGAGCAGTAGAAAGACAATAAAAGAGTGTAAGACACGTATATGAGTATAACAGAGAAAGGTTTAATCAAACCCGATGAATGGAAGTTGATTGTTGAAGAGGTGTGTAAGTAGGAAGCCGGAGGTTAAGGGGACGTTCTTCCCCACCCCAGATTCCGCTCCGCAACCGCAACCGCAACCGCAACCAACGTTGAACCCAAACAATTTCTCCAAATTTCCCGCTCCTTTCCCCTCACAGCAACGCAACAATTACAATTCAAAACCATGCTCTCAACCTCCCCCACTTAGAACCTCTTTCTCCCAAGCCCCAGCTCTCTCTAACCTCACTTAAAACATCCATCCAAAATTCTCGTCAGAACCATGACCACCCTAGAATCCCAAATCTCAGCCCACCTCCACACCACCAAAGCTCTCCCCGTCTCCCCAACCTGGCTAAACGGCTTCGTCTCCTCCACCACGACCGCCCTACAACGCAACGTCCCCATCTCCGCCCTGACGCAAACCGCACTCTTCCGCATCCTGGCCTCGGACTTCCGCGACTCCCTGCAAACCGATAACCCATCCGCCCTGCTTCCGGGCGACATTTTCGACCCCTCCGTGCAGGAACGTCGGCTCCCGGGCCCCGTCCCCGTCCAGGTGTTGGATATCGAGGACATCGGCACGAGTCTGTGGAGTCAGGTCGAGGCGATCGAGCGCGTCGAGCGTGGGGAGGCGATCCGCGGACGGGAGATTGTCAGGGCTGTTAATGTTGGTGGTGGCGGTGGTGGGGGCGAGGGTGATGAGGAGGAAGGGGGTGGAAGCGGAAATGCTGCTGGTGCTACTGCGTCGTCCGAGAATGAAAGTCATGGTCCGCATCGGTTGATTGTACAGGACGCGGCGGGGACGAGAGCTGTGGCGATTGAACTGAAGCGCGTTCAGGGGATCTCGGTGGCTAAGCTGGCGATCGGGGCGAAGATGGTCATACGGAATGCGACGGTGGCGCGCGGGATGATCTTGCTCACGCCGGACTGCATCACGCTACTGGGAGGGAAGATTGAGAGTATGGATCAAGCGTGGAAAGAGGGGAGGAAGGCTAGGTTGTTGGCGAGGATTACGGAGATGCGAGGTGAGGATCAGTCGTCAGGTTGATACCGCTGACGGAGAGGAATATTTGCATTTGTGGTATGGCCCCCCACCTTCTCTTCTCGTGACTCGTTTCTATCTAATAGCTCTTTAAGTAGATCTTCGTCTATCTCACATTTGGAAAGTGGTGCAAAGGTAGCGACTATTCGATCGTCGAGACTGCATGATTCAGCTCTTCCCACCCCGATTGCTGCCATGGTGCCACCATAATCGCCCTCATTGCGTCGCTCGCCTTTCCGGTCTGTGCGTATGCAGCAGCAAGATCAACGGCTTCCAGGTTGCTGCGGGGAGGGACGCTTCGCAAAGCTCTCTTGACGGCCATCTCAGCTGGGTACAGCTCCTGCGTAGCCGATGACAATTCCACCCAGCCTTGCGGTTCGGCAGGCGATCTCATCACTGCTGCAGTGGCTTCTCCGATCCGTCGAGTATCCCCAGGAACATCCGAGTTATCTCCATATCCCAGGGTAGACACCGCAGTGAGAAGCTTAATGAGCTTGCCGCGCTCATGGATCTCTATGTCATCGCGAGTGATCATGTTGCGGAGGTCGGATTCAACAGCCTCAACCGCGTCTCTATCATCATCCAGTAGCGCAATAGCACCGAGGAGGGTGACGGCGCCGATGTGGTCAGGATACTCTTCGACACAGTCGAACAGCTGCTGGCGAGCAACGGCTCTTTCCTCCTCCCCGCCCTTGGCCCACAGCACCTGTGCCAAAAGGCACACAACCTCTGGGGCATTGTCCGCCTCTCCAAGCGCATCACGGAACATATCAATAGCATTGTCCATGGACTTCAGGTAGTAGTGTGCCAGCCCGGCGGTCAAATGCGCTGACAGGCGTAGCTTCTTGTTCGTCTCAGGATCGAACTTCTCTGCGTCCTCTTCTCCAGAGAGCATAAGGGCTGTTTCCGCCTTTTCCGCGGCTTCCTCGTACTCATGACGGGCCAGAAGAACACGGGCAATATCTGCGTTGGCCTGCGCATATCGAGAGAGGGATGCGGCTGACTCTGAGACTTCGTATTCGGCCTCCACTCCCGCACACACAGTTCGCAAGCTCGTTTCGGCATCCGCAAACTCACCAATTCTTTCCGCTAGAAGGGAAGAGAGATGGACGAATGGCAAGTCGGAAGGCTCCTGGCTGGAAAGCTGGTGAAGGGCGAAGAAGGGCTGGATGAGTTGCGAGATTTCGTTAGAAATGGAAGAATCGGACATGAGATGGTCGAACAAGGTCATTGTGTATTGTTTCTTGGGCAACCGTGACGATGAATTGGAAATGTCGAAGGCGTGCTCAAACAAGCCTCTTGCTTCCCGCGAGTCACCGAACAAAAGAGCAAGCAAGCCCTGGCCAACCCAAGCCGGTGCATAGTCTGGATCGGAAGACTGTGCCCGGGTAAAGGCCTCATTTGCCAGCTGAATGTCATTGTGAAGGAGATATAAGGTTCCTAGATTTGTCCAAACCTGGGCACTGCGATCGTTGAGATGCAGGCTTCGCACGAATGAATGCTGGGCAACCTTGGGACTCATGCTTGTGGTCGCTACACCAAGTGCATTCCAGAATTCCGAGTTGCCGGCTTCCAGTTCAATGGCTCGCTTGAAGCAACGCATGGCCGTCTTGACGAATTTGCGAGTCTGCTTCTTATTCTCGGAGGGTGAGCTGAGCTGCAGACTTCTGTAAGCTCTGTATTCGGCCCAGCCGAGGTTATACCAGGCAACAGCCTGAGCATGGGTATCCCGGAGTGAGACCTGGATGGCACGTTTGTAGGCTAGAATGGCGGCATAGAGACATTTGTTTGACGGGCTGGTGCTATCGTCTTCAGAGGTCAGTGAAACGAGGATTTCCGCGCCCACTTCGTCCACGTCAGTCATGATGTCCAAGACTGTTGGCTCCAGTTGGGTTGTGAGCAGGCTCTGCAATTCATCGATCGGCAGTCTGTCTGCCTTGGACTTCACGTAAGAGAATAGACTGCATGCGTCTCCAATGCCCTTCCAGAGGTTGAATACATCGACTCTTTCCATGGCAAGTGACTGTGCTGCCGAAATCGCTCGTCGCGCAAGCTCAATGCAGTCATTGTACCGTCCCAGTTCCAGACTCTTCCAAGAGCTTTCGGTAAGCGTCTGAAGCAAGGCGATCAAGACGCCAATCTCCGTTGGCCTGACTTTCAGCACATCCTCGTACCTCGCGATAGCATCGTCATAATCGGCAAGCTCCCGCTTGACATTCGCAAGCATGTATCTCGCAAACCAGATCTGGTCCTTGTCGGTGCTCGAAAGCGTCTCCTCCAAGGCTTGTGCGTGCTCGAAAGCTTTGGTCGCAGCAATATACCTTCCGGAGTGGTGGTAGCTCTCGCCTAGACCGACCCATGAATGGTAATCATCAGGCTTTATTCTCAGCGCTGCTTGGAACGACACAATGCTCTTCGGATATTGCTGTTTGTTGATTTGGACACTACCCAAAGCTGCGTATGGCCAACTGTAGCCCTTGCGCTTAGAGCCCGGAGCTGGCTTGGCTTTGCCAGAATCCACCACGCGCTGGGCTACGGCTTCGACGAGGTCCCAGTCCCGCTGGTTAGCGAATGTGCGTGCCAACCTCTCCGCAGCTTCGATCTCAGACGGGGACAATTCAAAGGCTTTGTGAAAACATCTTTTGGCTCGGGTCTTGTCTTTCTTGTAGTCTGCATAGTACAATCCAAGGCTGGTATAGGCGGGCGCGAAATTCATGTTGGTCTGAATCGAAGCAAGGAAACTAGCGTAGGCACCGTTACGATCCTTGCGTGCAGCTGGTGATGGATCGATCTCCCACTGACAGTAGCCTACCCTGTAGAGGATTTCAGCTTTGAAGTCCCTATTTTCCGATTGTGCCTCGCGGAGCTCTGAGAGCACCTCCTGAAGACCCTCAAGACCGGATTCGAGGTCGCCATTGAGCGCGCGACACCAGGACAGCTCCCCTCGAACTTTGATGTTTGATGGATCCCGTGCCAGCGCACGCTCCAGAAAGTTCACAGCTTCTGGATAGTCCTCGTCGACCTCAAGGATAAGACCGATTCCAAGCAGACAGCTCGTCGAAGTTGGCTTCCGCTTCAAGATCTCTTCGAAGATGCCCTTCGCCTCAGGGTGGTAGCGAGGGGACTGGTGGTAGATGAGTGAATTTGCAAGTATGATGTTAATTGCATCGGTGCTGTTTGCGAGATTGAGCCCGGCCCGCTTGACCACGTCGTGAACATTCCGGAGACCTTTACGACAGATGTCCGCGGCACTCTCGTACTCTTCAAGTGTCAGATAGAGTTCTCCTACAATTCGATGTGCGACGATCGAGGTTGACGAAGTCTCAAGACCTTCCACCATCAGGAGAAGATGATCTTGAGCAGCCAACTCATTCACCTCGCCATTGTTCTCGTCAGCTTCGGGTTCTTCCGCTTTGGAGTCTCTCCTTTGCTTAGGTTCTTCCGGCTCCTTCGTCTCTTTGGGGAAAGGAGAGATATCACTAGCAAGGAAACCCTTAAGGACCTTGGACAGTCCGTCTTCGGGAAAAAACTCGATGAAGTCATCGAGGAAGTTTCGATCCCATTCGTGGAAATCTTGGACATCATGCCACTCCAGCACAATCTTCCAGGCCAGTTCGAAAGGATGTTTGATGATGACCATGTCACGAGCAGCCTGCAGCACCTCCACTCGCTTGGCATCCTTCTCATTTGCTGGTAGAACTGTCAGGAAGTCATAGGCGCGCTGCAAAGACTTCTCCTCATAGGTACGTCGAACCTGGTCGTCATGAGACCAGTCCACGATCCCGCGGTAGAGCTGCTCCAACTCGCTGCGCTTGAAAGCTTCCCTCTTGACCTCCAGTGTGACCTGATCGATCTTTGCGCCGAGACGAGTGCGTCTTTCCCCGATCTCCCGATTTATATATTCTTTCTCCTCCGACTCCGTTATCTCAATCAGACGGAGGTAGGTATGGGACGGATGCGGGATCCTGCCTTGAAGATATTCGTAAAGCGGCGACGATGGGAGGTGCAGCTCAAGAGCCTTCTTGTATTGCGATCGAGAACCATTTTTCTTCGCGAAGCCGACATACTTGTCCAGGAGGTCCTGACAACGATGCTTGTCATCGCTAAGGTTAGTCAGTAGCTAGCCCGATCATTTAAATGAGCGTACGGGGATTTAGACACGTACACTTCAGCAAACAGTAAGCCAAGTTTGATAACTGCCTCACGATATTGATCAAGCTTATGCGCGCCTTGTTTCTCATACAGGTTGATGAGGCCCTGCCAGGCTGTTTTGTCGTTGTCCTTCACACGAATAGCTGAAAGGTAGGCCGCTTCGGCTTCACCGTTCTTGTTCAGCTTGTCGAGTGCGAGACCCAGAAAGACATTGCTAGCGGGCAACCCAAGTCAGACACGCGCAATTTGCGGGAATGAGGGGGTGAGAATTTTAGAGGATGAGGGGTAGAGGGGATGAAGTGATACGCACGCATGGTAAATTTGAGGGTCTCTCTGGACAATTTCTTTAGCTTTCTCGGCTGCAAGCTCGAAATCCTTCGAGTCCAGCGCCGTGCGCACTGCCTTGAGAGCCGCTTTGCTTGCCATCTTAAGGCAATCGCTGCATGGCCTGGCCGGATTCCTAGGTAGCTTGGTGCTTGGTTGAGGGGAATGCTGGCGGATTTGGAGCAAGTTACTTCGTGATTGAGAAAAGGCCGGGCGGGCTGTGTGGGGAAACCCAAGTGGGAAAAGGTACGTCAGAGGTTCCGCCGGATCGCTCGTTATCGGTCTCGGTCTCGGAGCTGGAGTAATAACTCAATAGTCAATTACAGACCTTGTCTTTGCTGTTGCCTGTTAACACATGTCCGCTAGCCCATAGAAGAGGAAATTGCCAATACTAACTTGACGCTTCTTGTTTGTGTCACTGAAATATAGATAACTTCTTTAATTCACTTGACCCCCCGGCGCCAAGTCTGTTACCGTTGGCTTTGTGACTGGCGTCGCCGCCATCAACCAGCTGTTCCTGCAAGGTTAGC